ACGCCCGACTGGATGGAACAATCGTAGAGACTAATGGGGAAGCCGAGTGAGAGGCAGAAGGAGAAGGAAGGGGAGTGAAATTTTGAGTTTGTGAGCTGATTGACCAGTGGTCAGAAAGGTTATGTCCATTGATCTGTGGGGCAGAAGAAAAGGACTTTGGCCTGAGGTGCTTCAGAATGAGTCTATTTGGGGTTCAGGAGTCCCATCCATTCCCACCCGAACCCTTTTCATCATCTGACTCCCCCTGACTTACATCTGACACCTCCCGCTGTCCACGTAAGCACCAAGCACTACAAAGGCCAAAGGCCAATCAATGTCCCACAAGAGGTTGATACAGATCTTATTAGTCAATGAATGATCATTAGTGGTCTAACGAGACATTGATTTGCACTGAGGCCAAAGGTTGTGGTGAGTGTCTTTAATGCATTAAACACAATTGATTGCCGAGTAGGAGGGATGTTTTGAGGAATGCTGGAATTATATTGGACAGTGAGAAATTTTAGGTCAAGCCAGGAGAGGAGTGAATGTGGTTAGGATTGAGTACGGAACCAAGCAGAGCATTTGTCCTTTTTATGCCGAACCGGTGCCACAATTCTGCAATTAATAAAAAGCAGATATCTGCTAAGTCAAAGGCAACTGGACTCATTGTTTCAAAGGCTGGAACAGCAGCCTTTGAAAGCTACGGAAATGACTCTGCTCATAGCAGATGTGTTACTACAGGCCCTATTATGTTGCTCATTAAATACCCAACCTCTCAATAGGCCATTATTTCCCCAATAAAAAACAAACGGCGGCCTGCATACTTTCCCTTCTCCCCCTCTGCTTCAGAAGTCAGCTCTACCTCACAGTCGGCTAAAAACCCTGACTAATATCCTGCATGTGATGGTTTTAAATAGGAAGCAGGCCGCTGTGCAGGGTGGAGTACAGGTGTGGCAGGAGCCAATGGATTTTATAGCCCTCCATCTCCTCTGAAAGTGTGCCAAGGACCTGCCTACGCTACCCAACACTGCAGCGTTAGCCGCCAAGCGTTAACTTGACTCCCTCCACCGATCCCCACACCCCTACTGGTTATATAGAGTCTTTGCTTGTTATGGCTTTATAGAGGGATTTCTGATGTGCTTAGAGAATTGTTTGATGACTGGGATAATGATGCCATTTGGAGTGAGTTGTCTCAGGGTTTTATTACCAGTGAACACAGAGGAAAACAGACCTACCCTACGACAAAGGGGGGGGGGGTCTCCACGTCCTCCCCTTGATGTTTGCTCATGTGTCCCCCTGCCATTCAAAACCGTCCAGTCCTGCTCACGTCAATCAGAATTACACCCCGTTCACAGGTTTGTCACCGGGGGTACGTTCGTCACCATGTCTCCCACACAGAACAGCCTTTTCATGCCCCAGCATAATGTCAGCGGGTAACATCCAGGCCTGATGTGATGTGGCATTCACTAAAGGTCATGTTAGGCATCTCCGCTCCATCTGCATCAGCAGAACTGGCAGCCGTCATATGGGTGCTGGCATCGGCCATTACCCAGGGCCTCAGGGGGACTTGATGCTTGGCGGATTTGTCAGCAGGATTCTCATCTCTATGTTTCAGGAGAACCAGGGACAGTCACAGGCAGCACTGATGCAGAGCAACAGAAATCTGGTTTTGACCATCAATCATACAAAAGTAACGAGATGACAACATCTTTTTGGTTTTCTTTGGAGGAACTTCATCATCTCATGGTGCTGATGGGGGTGCGGATGAGGCGGAGGCCTGTCGTGGTGTTCGTATGGACTATGTGCTCAACTGGTTGATACGTTTAAGTGTTCTCTCATACCAGCTTTGTGTATTTTGATAAGCTGTGGCAGAAAGCTTGGGTTGAGTCCACAAAGGTAATCAACTGCAGTTGTAGTTAAATCCTTCCTGTGGTTCAAGATATACGTGACTAATAGACAAACACGCACACACACACACCTACAAAAATAACAAATAATCTGTTTGTTTCCTGTTTTAGTTCCAAAATAAAGATTCCACTTTTTTACAAAAACAACACATTGATATGTTATTGCACAAATCCTTATCAAAATAACCAGCTGGCAAACTTCTATTCATATATTAAAAAAAACAATGACAAGGCTTTGTGAAGGCATAATGACAGCTGAGAAAAGCTAGACAGTCAGGACACAAGGTCCTGAACTGGCGAGACGCAGAGAAAGAAAAAAGAATCGAACAATTCAAGACAGTCAATCCTTCTGGAGATGAGCCAGTCAGAGTCAGCACAGCCCGGTGTGAACGAGCCAACCCATCCGAGCCAGTTGCCTTAGCAAGGGATCGGTTAACGAGCCCAACAGGCGGGTTTTACAGCCTCTGTTGGGTGTCTCAGACCCCCCAGGCTGCAGAGGGACTGAGGCGACTAAAACTGACAGGGTTTATGTGGGCAGCAGAGGGGTGGAGATGCGTGAAAAGGTGCTCATGAACTAACAACTGGCACTTAAAGAGCACAGCGCAAGCATCTTAAGTATGTCTGTGCACACACACACACACACACACACACACACACACACACACACACACACACACACACGTTCGTATTTCTACCCATATGAGGACCTTGAATTGATTTCCATTCATTTTTAAAACGTATGCCTAACCAGTGTATTCCTAAACCTAGCTTTAAAAAATTCTTAATTCACATCTTACCTCTAAACCTAGCACCCAAACCTAAAAAGATATCGGTTTTGGTTCCCGTAAGGCCCATCGGTCAGTAGACGGTTAGTGAGTATGCTAGAAGAGGTCCTAAATAGAGCAGTTAAACAAGTACACACACACACAGACACACACACACACACACACACACACACACACACACACACACACACACACACACACACACACACACACACACACACACACACACACACACACACACACACACACACACACACACACAGACACACACACACACACACACGCACACACACACACACACAGACACACACACACACACACACACACACACACACACACACACACACACACACACACACACACACACACATCTGTGCATCCAAACACACCTGCTCCAATGCCATTAAGCTGATGTCTGTGCGGAGCGGAGTTGACGGATTGGGTGGAGATGCTAAAGTCAGAGGGGGTGGGATGGGGGGTGAGTCAGGGGGGGCTTATCCAAAAAGTGAACCAATAAAACACCTGAAAATCAAATCCCATTGCTCTTATCGCGGCGCCATTTACAGACGTTATCTGTGCAGGTAATGTGGTTATAAATTCAATTTCAGCACACAGATTTCATTGTTTACTGATGCCTGCGTGTTCCGGGCGACAGAACGCCAAAAGCTCGGGAACGCTCAATGCGTGTCGGGAAAAGTCATTTAAGCTTCCACAAGGGGATGTAAAAAAGGCGAGGAGCACTGGGATAGAGGGTGGAGGTGATGGTGCTGATGGGGAGAGAAGAGCTGTCACACTCCCAAGGACACCTGACTCCAGCTTCTTCTTCCCATCCCATGTTTTATTTAGAGGCCATTTGGTTCCTCATTACGGGGTCTCATAGCTCAACTGATGTCAGGCGCTATGATCCCTCAGATAGATAGTTGGGCTTTTCCATCACAAAGCATCTGACTGAAAAGTGTGTGTTTAGTGTTCAGATCGGGGCCTTTTTTCAGGAGGAGACTAACAAACACGTCAAGTTTGCCGTTTCTTCACCAGATGGAGCAAATTTACCACAAATCTTTATCTCATCATTTTTGTGACTTGTAAAGATGGGGAATTAGGTTCATCATGCCTACTGGCTCTCTCCTTATGATTGATGGCTTTCAGCAGTAAATCACCTCATCTACTAGGTAAAATCTTGATATAGTAGAGCTCCTCAGGCTCCCAGCTGGCTCCTTATGGCAGTAATCCATCAGTAGGGCCCAATGGGCCGAGCGGCCCTCCTGGGTAATGTTCCTATTGACAGCCTATGATGTCGAAACGCTGACAGCAGAGGGCCTCAGCAAAGTGTGTGTGTGTGTGTGTGTGTGTGTGTGTGTGTGTGTGTGTGTGTGTGTGTGTGTGTGTGTGTGTGTGTGTGTGTGAGAGAGAGAGAGAGTTTCCTTTACTCTAATATAAACTGTCAGGAGAACTGATAGGCCTACTAAACACACACAAACACACTCTTTAGCTGCAGGATGTAAAAAACAATAAAATCACTGCTTGTATAATAAAATTTTGAGACAACTTAAATTACTTAAATTAATTTTTCTTTATCTTTTTATTTCAATGCATTTAGTCACGATTCCTCTCTTGTCACTCACGTGTGTATGTCTTTGCAAAATAATGATTGGATTAATGATTTTTATTAAGTTTAATAATTTATACAATAAAAATTCAAAATTTTACAAATTTAGGTTCACAGAAACAACTATTGAAATTTTATGATTTTATGGCTTTATTTTTTCTGATGTGAATCTATTTCTGTTTTGAGATCATTATGGTTTTGTGTCTTTGTTTTATTTTGTTTTGAGCTATGTGAAGCACTTTGTGATTCTATGTCTGTGATAAGTGCTATTTAAATAAAATTTACTTAATTAATACTTGTTATGTTTGCCACTCTGATTTTTTTTTACAGCCAATCATCTGGTTTAGAAAAAAATAAGCATTGTCAAAACTCATCCCCACACTTCATTATGTTTATCATAAATCAAAAATATACATGTTTTGGGGGCAAATATTTATATTTAGTTGTATAATTTGTAAAAAGTGAGAAATTTGTCTTACAGGGACAGAAAAATTCTTCGTTTGCTTCATGAAAAAGTAAAATTTCATGGCCAAAAAAGAACAACTTTGAATGTAATGCAATGTAATAAATAGCTTTATGAGAGCGCACACTTGCTTTTTTATATATTGGTACCCTGACTATGTTCTGTGTCAAGTTTTCTTTTAGCTACAAGTCGAACCACAAACAAGAAGTCAAATTCATTGTACACTTTTTGAAATGCTGTCTTTCTGCCCACCTGCCCAGGTAAAGTGAAGGTTCTGTACGACACTCAGGCCCCTGTGTGTCCGGTTTGCCAGGCTGTCCTACGACCTGGAGAGCTGCAGGACCACATGGAGCAGGAGTTATCTAAACTCGCCCAACTACACATCAGGTATGTGTTTCTCATAATAAATGATGCTTTTCATGACATTTTTCTCTTTCTTTCATGAAACAAAGACGTAAGCCACAAATTCCCTAACAGCAATCCTGAGATCACAACTTTCCTCTCTTGATCCATTTCTCACTTTCTTTCTGTTTTGCGTCTGACTTCCTGTTCAGGAGATAACTCATGTCGTATCCAGAGGCCCCGCCCTTTTATTTCAGCCTGGCGGCGTCTCTGGTCGTCTTTGTCACCTGTGTGCAGTGTTTACAAGCTGCCTCATTGTTCCCTACATATTTCATATTGCAGCAGCCTTCGGGCTGCAGGCGACAACTCATGCAGCGGGCGGATAATGTCCTCCTAATGGCTGCTTTGAGCCCTACACACGCACACACACACATTCACACAGTGTAAAATACAAATATAGACACACACATTACCTGCTGCTTAGACCAGAAGAATGATTCCTCCAATAAAGACATTACACTCCAAATCTGCTTAACGACCGCGCCATGGACAGTAATGGTTTCAAATTGAACTTTGCCCATGGGGACAGTGTGTGTGTGTGTGTGTGTGTGTGTGTGTGTGTGCGCGCGCGCGCGCGTGTGTGTGTGTGTGAGAGAGCAGAGGTGCTGTATTTCTGTGGTTTATGTGACAATGTGAGACTAAAAAAGGCTCAGATAAACAGAAGATAAAAGCAGCAGCAGTGTGGTGTTTGTGGGTTTAACTTGTTGTGTAGTTGGGTCATGCACTTGTGCGTTGTGTGACTTGACTTCAGACTTTCCGATCATTTTGTGATCTTCTTTGGTGTTCTGTTTCTCTTAGTCCAGTTCAACAGGACCTCATCATGAGGACGCCGAAGGTGAGCAGAACTTTAATAAAGGTCAATAAAGGTGAAGTGTTTTACAAAATGCTCACTGTGTTGGGTTTGTTATGTCCAGTCTTTATCACTCTCCCTGCACATCAAACGAGAAGGAGGCTCTCCCACCTCGTCTCCTCGACCACCTGAGGAACCTCACTCAGACCGATACCAGGTATCATTTAAGAATGTTACACAATGAACGGTTTAAACGGGAACATGATGTGCTAGACTGCAGACTTCCTCCTATAACCGACAGACCTTTTCCTTTGTTAACATGCTGTAATATTAGAAAACACTGATGTTTAATATGTTGTTTCAGCGTTCTCTCTTGAAAACTATTTTTACTTTAATTTTGGGAGAAAATACTCACAACACAAGCAGCTGATGAGTTCTAGATGTCAGCTCCACAATCTAACCGCGGGAATCCTTTTCATTTGTTGCACTAATGGAATAAATAATGTACAACAATACTTCTTAAAAAACACCCATTGGGAATCACTTTTTTATTTGCAGCTTTGCATATTGTTGTGCTACTTAAAGTTTCATAACACCCTTTTCCCCATTTTTTATTACAATACATTTTAAAATCTTTTTTGTTTTATTTATTTATTTATTTGTTCTTGTGAAGCGTCTCGTGATTGTTATCTTGTGAGACGCCATATAAAAATAATTTCTTCTTCTTCTGCAAGACCAAAAAACTACACTAGAAAAATACACATATTTGATTTATTTAACCTGGTCAATTATTTTGTCCAGCTTCAGTTGTAAAGAATGATTAAATAAAATAAAATTAAATGAAATTAATATTTTCATGCAAATATTAAAATGTTCAGTCAATACGATCCTAACATCAAGAAGTTAGGTTGAATTAACTTGATTAGATGGTGTTTGGTCATAAAAGAAGTGCTTGTACAAATGTGGTTGAACCCGTGTAACTCCAGTTAATTGTTTATACCTGTCTACACAAGCAGCTGCTCATTTAGAAGCAGAAGAATAATCAAAAACAAACCACTGATTTTCTGCATTTGAATTTAAGTCACTGTTCTATTTGTTATTTAATCAAGTTTCATAAATGTTTTCTTGTAGTCTGATTTATTTTGATGTCCTGGAAGTAAAGAAACACCAAAATACAAAGATTCTGGGGTTTTCAGGGGAGTCATTATGCAAATCTCACTTTTTCCAACCTTTTGTGTTGCCCTATAGTTCTCTACTGCCTCTATAATCACTCCAAACGTGAATAAAAACTGTCCATCTATGTTCTGTTTAATTTTGGTTTCATTAATGCACCTTAATGGGGAGTTGTAATGATGGAAATTTGCACAAAACCACCTGTCAACGCTTAGCAAGGCTTCAGCTCTTCACATGGAAGAGCAGTGGCTCTACTCCAAGCCCCTCCTGCATGTCTGAGCCAGTCCTCAAAGCAACCAATCAGAGGAAGGGGTGGGTGTGGTCAACAACAACTTATCATTAAACTGAAATGGCTCATTCTGAAAGGTGCTGAAACTTTCAAGATTAGAGCTGATGAGATTTCTTTATGTGTATAATAATTCTATGGCCTGTTTTGACATAGAATTATTATATCTTATTTTAAAGGGACACTTTGCAAGTTTTTCATATTTTTTAAATCATTTTCTTGAGCCAGTAAGTGCTAAAATGACCCTTTACAGGGTTAATGAAAAGCCACCCAGACCCGACCCCCTTGTGGCCAGAATCCACTTGCAGCTTCTGTTGGGAAAAGTTGAGCTGACATACCTGGCGCTGCAGTCTGCTCCAAGCACGTTTCCTGCACGTTTAGCATGAACACAGCTGATTTGTTTAATTTAGTGATGAATCACTCCTGCAAACACTAAGGAAGGCTGGGGAGACATTTAAGCGGTTAGATTAAGGTGAACGCACAGAGAGGCGATGGGTTTTGCCTTCAATTCCACAAATGGACACCAATGGGGTGCTAAAGGCAAGCCAAAACTGCCAAGTTCCCCTTTAAAAATGTACACTATGTCCCTTAAAAAACCAGCAGCATGTCGCTGAAAGTTAAGAAGCAACTCTTAGTAAAATTATTGATGATAGAGAGTTTGCAAATGGAAAGCACTGCCTAATCAAACTTTGTTCAATAAAATGAGAACCTTTTTATCCTCTGTTTGTTGCAGACGTTTCTCCGAGTGCGAGCCAACAGACACACCAGGCTAAACGGTACGTTAAAGGTCTAAATGATGTGTTTCATAGCCCGTGAGACTCAGAGCTCAGTCTGGATGTTTAAAACAGTAACAACAGTTAAAGCTTCCTTTGTTCACTCTCATGAGCCCAGTCATGTGTCCCAAAGCCCTCCCGCAGTCGTCACATATCTCCCCCGATTTTTCCCACACCATCTCCACCGGCCTAGCGCCCACACGAGCAGAGGAGCTATTAACCTTTCAACTTTGACCTCTTGATATGTTAACAGTCGATGACCTCTGCTGGTGCAGGTGCTACGTCAAATCCGCCCCATTGCGCCCACACAGCGCAGGAGCCCACCTAGAGTACACACAAGCTGGTAAGAAACACAAAAAAAGCTTGATTTGTTTTTTTTCTTCCCCACAGTCGAGTTTTTGTTTTCTTCCATCTGACAGGTGCTGGACTTCACCTGAAGTCTGCTTGTTTTATGACAAAGCAAAATAACTTGGGATTATCTTTGGGGATGTTGAAAAGTCAGAGGCCAGAATCGTTCTGCAACCACCTTGGTTTCATTTAAACTCCAAAACAAGATGCTAAATTATTATTGGTAGATTATCGACTGAAAGTTGAAGAAAACATGTTAATGTAACTGTGACTTTTGTGATAGAAATCATTTGTTCTTACAATTGTATTATATAATCAAACATAATTTGTTATAAAATCCAAATTTAATGATCTTATGCTACATTTTTATTTAAATTTCTGTATTATAAAAGCCTAAAGTTGCATATTTATCCATTTAATCTGTCAATTTCAAACATTTAAACAACTTTTAAAGCACTTTTGACATCTTCCCAAATTGTATAACCGTGCATGTCTAAAAAAAGTCATTTTTAGTATTTGACATCAACTATGATGTCACAGCTTTATAGTTGAGTAGTAATCCACATTGTGGTAGCTCATTATGTGACGTTAAGTGTCCCCTGAAATGACTCTGACTTTTACAGACTTGCTGCTATAAATGTCAGATGCTGCATTAATCTTTAAATTATAAAAAAATAAGCCACGAGGGATAAACACCCCAAAGTGATAAGACTTTTTTTATATGCCATCCTAAAATAAACCCTTAACAAAGCGGCTGTAAATGAATTAACTTCTGATCAGTTAATAATGATTTATTATAAAACGACTTCAGCTCTAGGTGAGGGACTCCTGATGGAGTAACAGTTAGTCATCAGACGCAGCATCCTGACACTAACTCACATTAAAAACTTATTTCCACGGAGATGCTCCAGCTCTTAGCTGACTCCTCAAACTGCAGCTGCTGTCGAGCGCTGTTAGCCTTTATTGGGCCTTATAGGAGGACAGCATAATGAGCTTCTAAACACACGTCAGGGAGGAAAAGAGAGGGAGTGGTGAGGAGGTGCTTTGCTGCTGATTAATCAGCCTCCCTCTCTCTCTTTCTCTTTTTGTTTGATGAGCTCTTCTTCATCTATGACCGTCTCTTTAACCCTCATTATGCTTGCCAGGATGGCAGCGCTCGGGTCACATCCACCAGCACTCTCTGCTCGCCCCTCCTGCTCTCCTGTCATCCAGCTCGAATTAGAGGGCCCTAAAACTTAATGTCCCCTTAAACAATCTGCAGTCAGTGGGGTCGCGGAGGGAGAGGAGGTGCTGTTGGTGTTCTGCTGTGTTAACTTTCATATTTTCAGCGAGGACAGTGTGGGAGGACGATGGGATGACGGGGGGGTTGGCTAAACGCATGAAGCACTTTCTGTGAGACAGATTGTCTCTGAGATCCACCTGATCGTTTGGTCATACTTTTTTAAAGCATCTCACCAGTTTATCAATGTGTGTTTTTATCCGAGTGTTTCATCCGTGATTGACAGCAGCAGGGGGAACTCTGGGAAAATCCAGCTCCAGGATTTTGCACAAATATGATTTTATTTTAGAAAAAGGATCTTTTAAATGTTAGACACACATTAGGTATGCTGTTTTCCATGATGTAAATGACGTTACTACTTTAGTTTAACAGGCATTTTCTTGTCAGCAAAATAACTAAATGTTTAGAATTAAAAGCTGTTATTTACATCCAAAAGTCCTCATCGAGGTGATTAAAAACACTCATCTGTGCAAGCCACAGTGTAAAATCAAGAGTGTAGTGATATTTTTGCATTAGTGTTTTGAAATGAATTAATAACTCTGGTAAACATCAATTGAAACAACAACTAGATTTATGATTCTTTTGCATTTTAAGGCTAATATGGCAAAGTTTTGTGAAATTTTACTAAAACAATAAGAAAGCATGAATTTACCTAAAATTTCTACAATAATCAAAATGAATAAAATAAAATAAACATTTTCCTGACCTAATAATTTGTCATGCGAGATGCCATGATTTCATATTTGTTTCAACATGACAAACTCTGCATTCCTCAGGTGTTTATTAAATGTTTCTCTGGCGTGATTTAATTGTTTCATTTGTTTGTTTGTTTTTTGGGGATGTTTGTTAAAAAAAACTATTAAAAACGGACAAAACCTGAATCTTAGTGTACTTGTTATATGGAGGAATAACGAATCTATTCATGTACCAGAAAGTAGAATGTTTTTTGTAATTATGGCTCACTTCTCCAGCATTTCATCATTTTGCGGAGAAAAATCCAATCTTGTATTCTTGATTTTAACTTTGAACTCTCAACTCATGCGGCCTTTTTGCCATTTTGTCATCCTTCTGTCTTCCATCTGCTTCCAGTCAGGGTCGGAAAACTGAAGAGGAGAAAACCAGAAGATCTGCAGGTATGCACTTCACTTTTTTCAAAATTTTCCTGAAATACAAATAAAATGTGACATTTTTATTGTTTAGGATAATATTAATAACATTTAGCAAGTTGAGCTTAGATGGAGAGAATGTCAGTGACTTCAACAGCGAGATGACGTTGAAGGATTTTTTCACGTGGGATCAGGATCGCTGTCAGCTCTCCGAGTACTCATGTGGAAACACAAGCAGTGCTATGAAAACACAGATGTAGATATGAAGCTCCAGGCTGCTGGAGACATATTCATCCTGTGTGTGTGTGTGTGTGTGTGTGTGTGTGTGTGTGTGTGTGTGTGTGCGTGCGTGCGTGCGTGCGTGCGCGTGCGCGCGTGTGTGTGTGTGTGTGTTTAGGAGGGATCAGCAGACCTGGTGCCACTAGAGGATGAGTGGAATGAGAGAAGACGGTTACCAATGACATCTGTAGGATTCAAAGGTACGAATAAATCTGTGTGTGTGTTGGTGGTGTGTGTGTGTGTGTGTGTGTGTGTGTGTGTTGGTGGTGTGTGTGTGATCTTTGTTAGCGGAGGGTGAATAAAGTGAGTGGCAGCTAAAGAACCACTGAACTTTTCAGTCTGGATTATGATAGAATGAGATGCCCTAAAGGTTCACTTAGTAGTAACGCTTTCCTTCACCACAGAGGAAGGCGGTGACCTGCAAACTCGCTGCAGGCCGGGCGACAGAAAGATCTGCAGCAGAGCTTTCTTTTCCCTAAATTTGCACCAACAAGAAACATTTTAGAATAATTCAAATCGAATTCTTTTGAGAAGAGAAGCTGGTTTGAGCCGATGTAATGGTAAATGTGTTTCCTCAGGTGTACCGTTGGTGAGTACCACTTGTAAAGAGAGTCGGGACAGCGATGCAGACCTGGATGTTGATGGAGACGACACCTTGGAGTACGGCAAAGCTCAGTATCCTTGATCTGTAGTCTCTTTGTTTGAAATAAAAAATAATGCAAAACATATGAGTGAGAATCAGAAATAAAATGAGACGTTGATTACGTCATGGAGGCTTCCTATTTGGTACTTTTAGGTGAGTCAGTCTCACAAAACAAAAGTGTATCAGTAACTATAATTCTCTGTAGTTGTGGCTGATATGAGCTCATCTTCCAGGATAATTTTAATTTACTGCAAAATACTTACATCATCAGTTAATCTGATTGTGTACTTTATCCTGAAAACTCATCAGATACTCTGTGGTTATGAGTTTTGCTTTCATGAAACCAAACTGAACAAATCTGAACTTTAAAAAACGACACAATCAGAGAAATTCTTGAGTTTAAAAGTCTTATTATCATCTGAATATTCTAAGATTAGAAGATCAAGGACATCATTCTGAGTGAGTTCCTTCCACTCTGGGTTTATCGAGTCTATTCTGACATAAATAGTCTCTTTTCTAATTCTTCAATAAAGTGACATGCTTTACATCATAAAATTGACATCATCTTTACTTTTATAAACAGTATAAACATGATAAATATGAATATAAAGTGGAATAATTTATTGAATTTTAAAATGATCACAAACACACACCTATAAGAGAATATTTTCAACATCCCCAGTTTTTAGATAAATCTATTTTAGACAAATCTATGTAATGATTTTTCTAGTTAGACATTTCTGGTTTGTGTTGCTTTTTTCCTGACTTGAGTTTGCAGATACACGGAGATGGACGTGATCCCCTGTTCAGCAGAAAGCTCCAAAGAGTCAACAGTGAAGTGAGAATCCCACGCAGTCACAGACTCACGTCTGAATGTTCATCTATGACCTCCCCTTCCTTCATTTCTTTGTTACACCATGCTCTTCTTCTCTGTTAAACGTGTGGATTTGCTGTGTTCCTGCAGCAGCTTGCTTCCTGATTCGAGACTGAACCCCAACTTCTCCAAATGGTCAAATGAAGGTGAGTTCAGCAAACTCGGGATTTTTTATCCAACTCAAAACCCCTCCAAAATGAACATAAGGGTTTGTGAGACGCTTTCAAAAATGTATTCGATCATTACTTCATTTCTCAGGTTACTTGGGGAGCCCGTCTACGAGCGGCGGGGAGAAACAGGATGGCGGTCTCACCATTCTCCAAAAAACCTGCAAAAACTCCGAGATCGAGACGTGAGTTAAACTCTTGGCTGGACTTGGTTGGAATATTTCTTCATTCTAGAATCATTCTCTAAATCGCAGTCACACAAAAACGTATGTTTTACTTTTAGAAGTGTGTGTGCACAAGGCAGCTGGTGAAAAGGAAGGGAACTTATCCCAGCATGCACTGCAGGCCAAAACATTTTCAGGTGGGAATGAGCCAATCAGAGCTGAGGGAGTCGAGCTGTACTGAGTTCAGACTTCCTTTCCCCGTAGCGGTGGTACACAGCACCCCATTGACATGATGATCTCATCAATCAAGCGCCTAGCAGGCGTCGCCAGCCGCTACACGTGTTTCATCCCATCTAATGCTTTGTGTCCCTCCTGCCCTGCTGTACAGTGTGTTTACCCGTACAGTTTATCCTGCATCTGTTTGTGTGTAAACGTTTCTGTGAGGACCCCCGCCTACTCCCTAAGCCAGCTCCTGTCGCCCACCTATGATAAATGAGACAACCAATGCAGGCAATGTGATTGCTGCTGAATTTCATGCTCAGTGTCCATGTTGGCCAACGAATAATTTAATCCGTCTTCAATTTATAAATGACTCTCCAGCGCCTGTGTAACTCACACTGCTTCCTTCCACGCCTCACTGTTACTGTGGATGGTTTGGATCTGTGTGTGTGTGTGTGTGTGTGCGTGCGTGTGTGTGTGTGTGTGTGTGTGTGTGTGTGTGTGTGTGTGTGTGTGTGTGTGTGTGTTTAGGTTTTCAGGGGATTCCACACCAAACACGCTGGATGCTCTGAAAACCCGGATACGAGACCTGGAGAAGCAGCTGTCAAAGGGAGACAGGTTTAAATGCCTCATCTGCATGGTGAGTATAAAGACAGATTAAATCGGCAGAGCAGAAACACGTAAAGCTAGAAACCTGGTGATGTCACAGCGGGGGGACCGGGCTTTCAGTAATAAATCAGTATTATTGGTCGTGGCCTTTCATTTGGGATATAAGCAGGACTTGGTATTTATTCTGTGTTATTTTCAGCCATTGGTTTAGATTTATTTGTTCTTTTGTATAAAATATTTTGAACTCAATTTTGTTTTAACTTTAAAAGTCTGGAAAATGTGATGTTAATCTTTTTTTTCTATGTAATTTTAATGCAACAAAGATTGGTACAAAAAAGTATTGACTGGATTTAAAAGTGTAAAAGAGAGTTTTAAACTCAAACTGGTGAAAAAAATGAAGATAAAGCATGATTTCAGGAAAAAGCCCTTTTTTTTGACAAATAATGAAAATCAACATGCCAGAACATTAACTTCGTACAAACAAAACAAACAAAACAAAAATGAAAACACACACACATCTATCTATCTTCTATCTTCTGTCATCTGTCTGTCTGTCCGTCTGTATATATATATATATATATATATATATATATATATATATATATATATATATATATAGATATATACATATATATACAGTATATATATATATATATATATACAGTATATATATATATATATATATATATATATATATATATATATATATATATATATATATACAGTATATATATATATATATATATATATATATATATATATATATACAGTATATATATATGGTCTGTGAGCACGTTGAATCTATTATTCTGTTCTTGATCTAAAAACACGAAAAGACATTTAATGTGCAACAATTAAACTTTTAAATGTGGCACAGATGTCACAAACAAAATAAGATATTTGAGGTTTTAACTGTGTCGTAAATTCCTTCAAATCTAATAAGGAACTAATCTACTTTTTATCTTACTGTGATCTTTAGAGTTTTAGGTGCTTTACTCAATTAGAGTTTTTGCTGAGAAAGCATTTAAACAAGTGATACATTTCATATTTAGTCATAAATCAGCTCACCTGAATACACAGGTAAATCTGAAGTATTGTCATCTATAAATAAAACAACAGAAATGTTAAATACAGTTTTGTGTAAATAACCAGAAATTATGATTCTGTCTGAAAACTTTCAACACAAAGCTTAACGGTCCCTTCGACATTAATATTAGTAACAAGTTTGATAAGTACAGATGAAAAATTAACTCATTATCTGATAGAAATCCTCCATGTTTCCTTGATTATTCTCCCAGTGTTTGATACTTTTACTTTAGTTTAACAGCAAGCAGGTCACTAAAACATCACATTTAATGAATCTGATACTAAAGCACTAACTCATTCTATAGATATAAAGGCTCTTGTTTGTAATTATTTTATTTGTCCTGAGCTCCAAAAGTAAAAGATCTGTAATTACAGACATTTAGAATAACTTAAAAACACAGATAATTACAACTATCTAAAAGGAACAACTTTACAGTGAAAACCTTGTTAATTTATGGCGATTATAAAGCCTGAAAAGAAATAACCTGCTGTTCTGTTAGAGGTTGGTCTGTTGTAAAGGTGTTATAACAGCGTCAGGTTGCCATCTAGTGGCAGCCTTAGGTACTACAGTTGAGACTCACCTGATCTCCGTCTGTCTGTAGGACACCTACACCACCCCGCTCACCTCCATCCAGTGCTGGCATGTTCACTGTGAGGAGTGTTGGCTGCGGACGCTGGTAAATCCTCTCATCCAGGCTCGGCCACATAAACACAAACACTTTAGTTCTAGAACATTTTCAGGCTGATTTTATTTATATTTCCAGGGAGCAAAGAAGTTGTGTCCACAGTGTAACACCATCACCTCACCTGGAGACCTGAGGCGAGTGTACCTGTAACTCTACCGCACCCTCAAGGAGAGGGAGTTCAGATTCAGCCAATCAGAGGTGGACTTGTGGGCAGCTGGCCTGTTTACCCACTCCCACCTTCAGATCTCCCTGTCAGCACACTCCTAACACCTCCTAACCTCTGTGGGGCAGAGAGCGTGACCTTTGACCTGAAGACAATACAGCTGCAGCATCAACTGGATCATTAAAAAAAATCACCGGTTGAACTCTCAGGCACTAAAAAGACAACAGAAGAATTCCTTTTGGATCGATATTTATCAATTTTTTAAAACTCCTTCTGTTTGTTTCTATGAGGATAAAAACTGTTGAGCTGAACTGCGAAGCACATGTACAAAGTTTTGTGTTTGTTTGGAGTGACGTGTGTGTAGGTGACGTTGACTAGCACAACAACCTGACTGTATTTACTGTACAAACTTTGTCTCTGCTTACATCATCTCTGATTGGTTTAGCTGTTTTATGTTGGAAACGTCTCTGTCAGCCACATTCTGTCCTCATCATGGAAGCATTTCTTTGTATCTCTTTATTAAATCAACTTTTTATTAATATTACTACAATAAAATGTGTGTCTAAGGAGTATTGTTGCTGTTCTGTGATCTATACCAAAGTGTGTGGATTGTAGTAAAGTGTTGTTGTGCTCATTAGCCTTGTTAGGGGGACTTTGTGAGGCGTGGCCGCCCCTTTAAGAAGTCGGTCAAGGCAGGATTAGGCAGCTCCTCTGGAGGTGAGAGACTTTAAATCGAGCTATTCTGAGCCTCTGCTGTGTGACCACTCGGGTTTGGCCACATTAAGGTTCAAAAAAAGGCAACAGAAAGAATAAAGAGGAGAAATAACTGAATTTTGGCCTCTAAACATTTCCCTTTGAGGTCTTTGAGGACTACTTATGATTATGTTTATTTATTTGGCAGATGCTTTCATCTAAAGCGACTTACAATTTATAACCTATAGGGCATGTTGTGATCTGTGGGGGAAACCGGAGTACCCGGAGGAAACCCACGTATGCATGGGGAGAACGCAACTCCACGCAGAAAGGCCACAGCCGAGTTTCGAACCTGCAACCTCCATGCTGCGAGGCAACAGTGCTAACAACTGCGCCACCATGCAGCCACTATTTAAACCTCCAGAAGCTCCTGAGCGAATGTGGTCAGTGTTCTGCACCTCACTCCAGATGGACTGTGTGAGCAAACGACTGAAACACCCCTAAGTGTAGAGATGTTACACAAAACATACGCATTTTCTGGATTTTGCTCTCATTCCTAGCAATGGCTCAATCGTTTGTTGATTCATTAGCAGGTAACAGAATAAAAGAGCTCACATCCAAAATCAAAATGATGCTTTGTTTACAAAACCCATCCCATCTTGTGCTGAGATAAACAAGCCCTCCTGCACGCATGTGATTAGCCAGCGAGCTAAACGGAGGTGGAGGTAAATCAGACTGACAGCTGCTTTATCACACACACACACACACACACACACACACACACACACACACACACACACACACACACACACACACACACACACACACACACACTAGTAAGAAGCCTCACCAAAGACTCATTTGCTCTGACCATCTCTACAGCGGAGGACTCACTCAGGCAATAACAGGTAAGCCTTGTTTTCACACAACTTCAGTCTTGGTATCAAAGTAAATGACATTAACTGAATAACGTGATTAAAACTTAATTTCAATGACAAAGCACCTTTTTGTTTCACTATTTATTTAGTTCTCAAAAGAAGTGCCTTTGTAGTCTCAGAACACCTTTAAGAAGCGCTTTGTACAAAAGATGCCTAAGAAAAATTTAACTTTTTGTTAAAGTAAAACTTTTATGAAATAAAACAACTTTTCTTAACACTTTATGTATATTTTCTCTTTTTTTCATTAAAAACAAATCTATTAAAAATTAAAACCAGAAATAAATGTTTAAACAGTAATTATTCAGTCATCACTAATTGTTGGCAATTGCTGAGGCTCAAGAGTATAGATGTACAATTTTCTTTTGTTTTATTGCCTCAAAGGGTGAGCGGACCTCCTGTCCCAGAGCCCCTGCTGTCCGGCCCGGATCTAATTAATCCTGCTGACCGAGACATCATGACTTCATTAGCGGGCTTTCGTACCCGAGACATCATGACTTCATTAGCAGGCTTTCGTACCCTCAGACTTTATCTACCTGAGCTGAAGATGAGCTTTTCCTTCAAAAAATCAGAATACAGTCGCATAAAGGTGAAAGCAGCAACCTGAGTGTGAAACGAGACTACTCCTCCTCACACTAGATCAAAGGATTAACCTCGCATATCCTCAGACCAGCTAACAGGATCGAAGCTGAACTCCAGGACTGATAAAGATCAAAAAATGGGGTCTGCTGTTTGTAAATGATACAGGAAGTTGCTACTGATGCCTGAAACAGTCTGATTTTCACCATCTTCTGATCTTGTTCTGTCTTTGTGTTTCAGAACGATGTCAGGACCAAGGCCCGTGGTGCTGAGCGGCCCGTCCGGAGCCGGGAAGAGCACTCTGCTCAAGAGGCTGATGAAGGATCACGAGGGTGTCTTCGGATTCAGCGTGTCACGTATGTTTGTGTGCCAGTTAAAGATTAGCTCCCAGAGCTACGTCCTGACCTGAGGTGGAACTGGGATATCTACTCTTCATTTTATTTGAAGCATCCTTTTAATGACCTCATCTTTTTCTCAGACACAACAAGAAACCCTCGGCCGGGAGAGGAGGACGGCAAAGGTACCGTAGTTCTGGCTCAACAGTTGATGTGTTGGTGAAGCTCTTTAGTGATTTCACAAGACGGCGGTGGAAGTTTTAGCCCCTTTAAACGGCTTTAGGATCACCTTGCTCTGTCACACTTCATTTAAGAATGGAATAAATACTTCCTTCCTGCCACACTTCTTACTCCTCAGTGAACTGCTCAAATGGTATTTTTCATCTTGTATAATTCCCTCTGTAAAGGGATAAACCTCTTTCTGTGCCTTTTTGCTCTCTCCGTAGGGCTGAACAAGCTCCCTATGCTTCTGGGGGCAGCTTTACTGCCCGTAGCAGACGTCTTTTCCTCTGGAGACTTAGAAATGTCAGCCACATTATCGTGTCAAAGTGAATCAGAAACCACAGATAAAGGTGATCTTGCGGTGACTCTCCATCACAGTAGTTTTTCTGACGACAGAGGGATGGGGGTTACTTTCATCGTCCTGGCACACGGTTACTGGGTCCGTGTGCCAAAACAGAGAGGACAAGCAAACTGGAGAATGCGGTCTAAAATCTTAGGAGTCAGTTTCAGACAGTCTACACTTTGGAGTAAAAAGCTTTTGAAAATAGCCCCTGTGAGACCTCGGTAGTGGTTCCCAGTTCTAGTGTCCCTGTTGTGTTGGCTGGGTGTTTACATCCAATCATTAGCAATAAACTCATCAAACCTTTACAGTGTCTTCCCAATCTTTTCAGACACTGCCCATGATTTCCATTCGGCTCTTTTTCATCTGTAAACTGAACCGAATTGGATTCTGTGCCTTCTACGTTTTAATGAGAGCCATTTTAAACATCATACTCCCTGTTTTTATTATTACACTTTCCCCTCAGACTGCTATTTCAGTCTGAGCCAGATTCCTTCATGTTTTCATGCTAACGATTGTTTGTGACTATTAGCGGCCACGTTAGTAACATGTCTGCTTCTGAACTTCTGTTGTTTTAGATCCCCAGAAGTGTTTGATGTTTGGAAGATATAGGCCGTTGGACCGGCTCCGAAGACAAAAATGTTTTAGTTACTTTTCACTAACGACATTTCTGAAAATATACCATGGCATACAATGTCTTTATTTCTGTTGTTAATACAGCAAAAACGTTGATAACCTCTTAAAAGGGAAATATTATGAGTAAAACGAAGCAAAAAACTTTCAGTGTGACGTCTATAGAACATGACAGTCTTGCATAAAGTGATTTCAGCAGTTCAAATCGTGACCTTTTAGTTCTTTCCAAAATGAGCTTTTTCAGGGCTTTTTCTTTAATAAAACTAGGTCAGATGGTCAAAATTAAACATTTTTAAAGTTATTTCACATTTAAAACTTACGTAACCTGCCTTTAAAGGCAAAGTTCACTGAGGACCTTTTTTAAAAATATGATCGGTCACTGAGTTTCACATGCAGGCTGAACATGAAAATGGTCTTCTACCCCTATTACCTGCTGCTGATTGAAAATAGACAGGGAAACACTCGGGTCAGAAAAGCTAGTCAGATCTGTCACGCTGGAAATTAGCATTCTTGAACTCCTCCAGTTTGGCTAGCAACGGGGAAGGGTGTTGTTGATTTAGCATCTAGTAGACAACAGCTACAGCTATAGCTAGCCATTAGCTTTAGCAGCTCCAGAACCCAGCAGAACCCCTTCTAGCTTGTGCTGTTTGTGGGGATAAAACATCAACATTGCAAAGCAAAAGGAGTCAGTAGTAGATTCACGTTGCTTTTAGCCAATCAGAGGCGAGATGTCCGAATATCAGTAAATAATAATAAGAGTAAGACTCCATCTCCTGCTGTTTTCCTACAGAGTTTGACTCACAATGCATTCATTTACACTAGATACCACTGCAAACGTGTTAAAAGAATGAGTGAACTTGGTAAGTAAATAAAACAAGCTGTTGTAGGTCACGCCCACCCACTCTTTGATTGGCTGGGTGTTTGGGAAAAAAACTAAAACAGTAAAAATGTGAAATTACTGTCACAGTCCTGCTTTCTCTACCAGGGCTATAGTTAAAGCATTGTCACATTCAAATTATTTAAATAACATGGATTGCATCCCATATGCACCCACACGTATTTGATCCAATGCTAATATAAATGCACACAAATCCCCAGTTGTGATGTCACAATTGGGGACTTTATGAAATGGCTTGTTTTAGGGATAGAAATCCCAAACTTTGACAGAAAATGGATGGCATGTCTTCTCATTTAGAGTGTTTATAGATGCAATAAAGATCCACACTGCAGTGCAAAAAGATGTAAAAAGTCAGATTGGCATAATAAATCCCCTTTAACTCTCTCTGGCGGCTACATTTTATTACACTAAAATGTCTTTTTCTTTAACTTGATTTAGAGTCATGTTATTATAATGTGAGTTATTAAATTATTCGACAACTTTTGTGGGGGGTTTTCTCCCGTTTATTTTTTGGTATGTTGCATGTTTCAGATTACCACTTCACAACAAAAGAGGTTATGCAGGAAGGCATCGACAATGGAGAGTTCATCGAGAATGCTGAGTTTTCTGGAAACATGTATGGAACAAGGTATAACAATTATAACAGCCATTACATATTTGTGCAGGTAGTTGCATCTGTCTGTATTTTTTTCTGTACCACCACGCTAAATTAGACTCACTCATACCCAGTGTAGAGAAAATTCAGAAAAGTGCCTTGTGAGAAACAACCTTGAATCACAGGAATGTAGGAGATCTGCTAACAGATGGAGCTTTAACCTGTGAGTCAAAATGAGCAACACAGAAGAGCTTAGCATCCTGAGTCACGTTTAATCTCTGCTTCTTATTCTGAAGGTAACAGTCACCAAATCCAAGCTGCTCAGATCAATGCAGACATCCTCTTTCATCTGTTATTACCAAGAACAAAACCATCAAGCTCCCTTTGGGCATCTTTTTGCCATTTTAAAACTATCTATCTTTACTTATTTATTTTATAGTAAGTCTGCAGTGGAAGATGTACGTGCCAAGAACCTGATCTGCATCCTTGATGTGGACATTCAGGGAGTGAAGCGGATTAAAGAAACAGACCTGGACCCGATCTACATCTCCATCCAGCCTCCATCCTTGGAGATCCTGGTAGATTGCCACTTCTGAATTTTAGCTGTAAATGTGCAGAGTCGGATGAAAAATAACTAGAGTTGGATCTCGATTAAAAAAAGAATCCAATTAATCAGGGGCTTGCAATTAATCTTGATTAATCACATTTTAACTGCACGAGACAAGTTGCCCCCCAAGCAATTTTAAAAAATTAAATATAATGTTAGTGAGGCACAGATGACACACCCACACTTTAATGAGTACATTCCTGTAAATGCTGCTTGTATGCACCATCAGTATTTGCATCGTTCTGGTTGTGGTTGATCTCAGGAGAAACGTCTGAGAGACAGGCAGACGGAGACCGAGGAGAGCTTACAGAAACGGCTGGAGGCTGCTCGCATCGACATGGAGCTCAGTAAGTTTCTCCAATGTTTTATTAAAATATATTGCTATAGGAAAAATCTCCAAATTCCCACTCAGACTCTTGTCTGGATTGGGTGCTAACATGTTTACATATTGTTTTTAGGTAAAGAGCCTGGAGTGTTTGATGTGGTTATCATCAATGATGACTTAGAGAAAGCCTACAAGGAGTTGAAAGATATCCTTAATGATGTAAGTAAACCCAAAAAAACGAAAATATTTGGCTTTTTCAAATACTTTATAGAAGTTCACACATTTTGTCTCAACAGGAAATCCAAAAGGTTCAAGAAGCCAAGTAAGAAGGAAATGATGACTCACTTTTTTGCAACCTTTGAACACAAATGTGACCTGAACCCATCTGAAATAAATGCATCTGGAAAAACAGCCTTTTTATTTATTTCCCCATGTTTGTACAGACAGCTGGTTGTTCATTCTAGGACAGAGACAAATGCTGCTGTGCATTTGTTAAGGGTAAATGATCTGAAATCTGTTAAATCCAGAGAAATGAACAGCATAATTACTCCAGGAGAAATATATTTTCTAATTTGCCTGACCACTACAGAAATACAAATAGAGATTTTATAAATTTAGAAACAGACTGAGCCTCTAAGAGCCCGTTTCTGACTCCGGCATGCTGGATAATAAACACGAAACATTTCCATTAGTCAAAATAGCCATTTGGTTTAACGATTTCTATTGCAGCACTGACAAATCTACTCCATGCATTACCAAAATTTATCTTCAGGTCTAAAATGAAGAATTTGTGCATCTGAGAAGAAAAAGTAAACACTTCAGATCTCAAACTCAGACATAGAAATAAAAACGAGTTCAGTGACATAACATCTTTTCGTTTTTTTCACTCAACACACCACGAGCAGTTAAACAACCTGAGCAATCTAACATCTAATCTAATCTATGTCTATTAGTGTTTGCAAACTTAAAAATGATCATGTAAAGCATCAGAAACGTTCCTGAAATATATTTTCTTTCTTTGTTTTCAAGAATACCAAGAAAAAAATTCCAACTGTAAGACCAAAGATGGGCAGCAGAGAGAAGCACAGCAGTAAATCCTCATGGCAAACAATCATATTTCTGCACAACTGTTAGATGCAGTTTTATCCCTGATGTGTGTCAATAAGAACTAATCACACACAATTCAGCGCGCGCACACTGAACCCCATTGAGAACCTTTTGCACGTTCAAAATCAGGGCAAACTATGATTTTATGAAGTGGATCTGGTGCTAGCGCTCTATAAAAATGAAACAGGAAACAGCTGACATGAAACATATTTTTTTCTTGCATCATCGCATCACTTAAAGAATGGGCCCTGCAGCTTTGTGCACACCTGATCTCGTTTCTCTTCTTTCTGCTTGAGGTAAGCTTTGAGCTTATCCGTGGAGAAACACACTTTGGAGTGCCGGGCTTTGTGTGGGCCGCGGTGAGCACAAAGCCACGGGTTCTGGAGACACTCTGCTGCAGTGGGTCTCCCCCTGTAAAGTGTTTAAAGACATCAGAGTCATGTCAGATTGTCCCTCGTGGTTTGTCCGTGGAAAAGGAACATCATGCCTAAATACTGTCCTGACCAGGATTTGCTGTTCAGGCTGCTCTTCATGAAGTTCAAGGCTCCCTCGGACAGGCCCGGATAACAGCGTCCAAACTGGATCTTCCCTTTCTTTATGTTTCTGTCCTGTTCCCAGCTGAGCTCCGAATGAAACGGACTGTCAGCGCTCAACCTAGTGATGCAAAACGTAAAAATACACTTGTTCAAAGTGCTAACCATTCCTCAGAACAATGGTTAAAATGTTCTCCATGCAGCTTCTCTGTGCTTACATGATGAAGGAGAGAACTCCAACAGCCCAGATGTCAGTCTCAGGCCCCACTCCCTGACCCTCCAGGATTTCTGGAGCTTTAGGAAGGACAATATAAACTGACAAAACAGACAGAAACGAGACATCATCCACAACACAGAAGTGTTCTTTCACCACCCTACCTAACACCTTCTATAAAGACAATGTATAAAATATAAATGAGTGAAAAGAAATTATGAGAAAATGGACTTGGGTTTGTTAGGTTAGGGTGCTAGGATCATCGGGATGGAGATGCAGTTAGGAGCAGTTATTTCCATCCACCATTCAATCCGTCCTCCATTAAAGAAAGTGTACCTTTCCCGCAGCGGTCTGTTGGAAGCCATGACAGTCACAGGTTAATTGTGTTAGAAAGATCTAGAATACGCAGAGATGAGCAAACATTAACTGCACTGCAACCTTTGCTGTCTGAGAGGCCGTGGATGTGCTCGACGTTGAGAGGCTGTCCGGGTACGAAGGACTGAGCTGAGCCAAAGTCCACAATCTTCAGGTGGTTGCAGTCGTCCACCAGCATGTTGTCAGACTTCAGGTCCAGGTGGATGACGCGGCGGCTGTGAAGGTAGTCCACCGCTCCCACGACCTGCAGCAGCAGCTCTGTGACGTGAGTCTCTGAGTACAGGTCTCTGTGGGCAAACACAGACACACTTATGGAAAATTCGGAGCTATGCGTGTGCATGTGCGTGTGTGCGTGTGTGTGAAGTTACCTCGCAGCCAGACAGTGGAGCAGCTCCTTGCCTGGGCAGAGCTCCTCCACTAACACCATGTAAGTGGGAGTGATGAAGGCGGCGTGCAGCAGAACCAGGTGGAGGTGGTGAAGCCTCCTCAGCAGTTGGTACTCTCGCAGCACCAGTTGTCTCTGCTCAGCCTGGTAAGGGGTGATCTTAGCAGCGAACACCTGACACGTCTCCACGTCCCTGCACAAGGTCACCACACTGAAACGACCCCTGAGTGACATAAAACACACCAGATGTGTAGAGTACAAGAGACACAAAATGATCTGAGGGGAGGTTGGTTCTAGCCAATGCATTCTCATATTTGTTACATATTCTGGCACAAAATATGCAAATTACATATATTATTAAAATTTTACTGATTATCAACATAAAATATTAATCCATAGGGGTTCAAATGAAGGCAACTGGACTTTTTTGGCTTCTTGAAGACGTTTCTCTTCCCATCTGAGGAGCTTTGTGAATTCTGACTGGAATATGGGAGGATCAAGTTTTGGGGCAGCAGTAGCTCAACCGGTAGAGCGGTTTGTCCGGTAATCGGAAGGTTGCAGATTCGATCCCGGCTCCCGACAGAGAATTCTGGTTAACCCACCTTGCCTGCTGGTGGTGGTCGGAGGGACCGGTGGCGCCTGTGCTCGGCAGCCTCGCCTCTGTCAGCGCGCCCCAGGGCAGCTGTGGCTACACCGTAGCTCATCACCATCAATGTGTGAATGTGTGTGTGAATGGATGAATGATACACTCTAGTGTAAAGGGCTTTGGAGTCCTTACTCTGAGAGGCGCTATACAAGTGCGGGTCATTTATCATTTATTTATCATTAAGTTTATAGCTTGAGAGAGGAGTAACGGAAGCTATGTATGAGAAATGGAAAAGACAAACATTAAACAGAGGAGGAGGCCTCAGGTTTCACCTTTCCTGCATCTACAATGCAGCTTTAAACCCAGTCCCAAAGCAGCTTCAGAGCAGGTCACACCCTCCACACAACAGTGAAAAGTGCTTTGGATTGTGAAAGGCGCTATACAAGTACAGGTTGTTAGTCATTTACGAAAAGCATCAATAAACAGAAAAAAATCCTTCTTAGAAGTTGCTTCTTGACATGATAAAAATGCCTCCAGATTAAAAATAATCCAAGCATCTTTGATGAACAGCTACCTGTTGATCTCAGAGAGAAAGCTGTAGTTCTTGTTTATTGTTTGACCTGCTGAACCGGCGACCTTTGACCCAAGCTGCTCGGTCTGGATAAGAGGAACACGGAGTTCTGAAACAACAACACGCATACGGACATAAAGTTTCTGCTGTTCACGAACACCCAACACAACATCAGTGCTCTCTGCTTAAATGAAATATGAATAAATAAAAGAGAGACAGTCGGGTTGTGCTTTTCCTGCCTTCTGGATGTGTTGCCATGACGATGGGAGCTGAAGGTTCGCTGAAAGGCCCCGCTCCGTTCTTGGCAACGCAGCCCACTCTGAACACATAAGTCGCTCCTTTGGCCGCGTTCTTCACCACATAACAGCTCTCCGCCAGCTCGTCTGACAGAACCGTCCACTCTCCACCTGAGAAAACACAGCAACCACTTCACATCCCTCGTCCTACGCTTTTAGAGTGCCATCAGGCAGCACTGATGCTGTCTGCTGCTGTCATCAGTTAAATATTTCAGTAAAACGTACAAAATCTAGATGGAAAAGTCTTGTTGATAATCAAACTAGAATCTACACACGTCTGGGCCGCTGGTGTGAACCTACCTTCTGTGCAGGACTGCACACAGTAAGTGACCGGGTCAGTGGACTGAACGGGCCTCCACACCAACAGAATTCCACCTCCATGTAACTGCAGCACCTCAGGCTTGCTGGGACGAACTGGTAGATGTGTGTCCAGCAACAAAAATATATATATATATATAGCCATAATGCATTTATAACATAAAATGTGACTGTGCTTTTGATACCCTTTGTCTTTTTGAATACTGGCATTTTAAAAGAGGACAGGAGTTTGGAGCTTCTCCGTTTTGGACTCTCGAGGTCGCTGCTGCTCTCCCTCTCTAGTGGGCATGGAGCTGATCCTTTCACTATTGGCCCTAAAATTTAAAAACAACCAATCAGAAAGATGACATAAAATTAATCACAAATAAAAAGCTAATCCATGACTCACCTCCTTTACTCACATCCTCCTTACTGGAAGACCTGGAAAACAGTTTGGTCAGACTGGAAGCTGAAGCTCTCATCGTCTTCCTCAGAGATAGAGATGGTGTGTCAGGCTTCATGATCTCTCCCAGCGTAGGTCCTAACTCTGCATTATCCAGCTGGGAGTAGGAATGACCTGTCCAGGACTGCCGGCGGAAAATCTTCAGCAGTCCTAGTTGGGGCGATTTCCTTGGCGGCGGCCGGACTTCAAGGGCCGGAGCGGACGCGTGCCTTTGAAGTCCAGAGCTCTCCTTCTTGTCCCTGGATCTGGGAGGTCTTTCAGGAGCCTGCAAAGAGGAGAGGCTGGGACTGGGACTCGGTGTTACTGACGTCCCAGTCCGACCTCTGCTGCTTGTTGATAAATTGGGATTAGAGCGCGTGCGGTTACGTGGTGGAGCCTGAGGATATGAGCTTCTAGGTTTTATTTCATGAAATGAGCTAGGGGATGTTGAAATCAGAGGTTCACCCTCATAGTCATCACTTTCTCTACCACGATGAGCATGACTCAGCTCTTCAAAGGATCCAAGTCTACTCGATGACTCAGAGTCACCGTGCTCCAAAATAAAAGACTCTGCCAAAGATCCTTGGGAGCTGCCAAAGTTCTCCCCCTCTGTTTGCTGCTCGAACCCGGACCTCCTTCTGTCTCTTGCAAGGAAGTCAGAAGATCGAGGCAACCCACTGAGTGTTTGAGTGACTGTTGCCGCAGCAACAGAGCCTCTTCTTCTTGTGGTTTGCTGAGATGCTGGGACATCCAGTGAGTGTCTTCCTGCTGCCTCATCATCTGTGACATCTTCCTTCACACTATGAGAGTCCACCTCTTCACTTCTCTTTGTACCACAGAGTGAACTGGGAGATCGGCGACATGATTCATCCAGAGACCTGCTCCGTCTGTGAGGAGGTAGACTGGTTTGGAGGAGACCCACTCCACTATCAAAGGAGCAGGACTTCTGCATGGTGGGCTGGACGGATCCCCGTCTCTGTCCGCGGCTGCTCTCAGCTTCATCCTCCACGTACTCAATGAGAGGCTCATTGAGGCGTCCTGAGAAGCTCCTCCTCAAGGGTTTGCGGCCTCTCTCCTGCTTTTTTGCCTGGAATTTGTCTCTTAAAGTCATGTGTCTGGCGGACATTGGTGAAAGCTGTTGAGAGGAGTTGTAGAAGGTGCTTCGGATGAGGTTCCTTCGAGGGATGCGCCCTCCTTCGCTCCCAGAGCCGTCATCACCATCTGAGAAACACAAGGATGGATTGCTGTCCTTGCTGAAGCGGCGCTCCCTCTGAGGCGTCTGCTGGTCTGATGTTGATGAAGCGAGTGATTGCCTACTGACACTCCTCTCTATAACACTCCTCTTCTCCAACATCTCCCCAACCTCTTCCTCCTCTAATGTCCCTTCGTCATCCTCCTCTCTACCCAGGTGGTGTTTAGCAAGACTCTCAGGCATCTGTGCCCTTTCTGTTAGGGGATCATATTCTTCCTCTGTTTCCTCCTCCTCCTCAGTCTGGCTGCAGTGCTGAAAAAAGTCCCAGGAGTCTGCCTCGTCGTATTCGGACGAGGAACCACTGCTCAGGGATGTGCTGCTGTGCTCCTGAGGCTCACAGGGAACCGTCACTGAAGTTTCTCTGAGAGGAGCTTCGAGCAGCTCAGGAATGGGTCTCAAGGTCAACACCGAGCCGATGCAGGTCAACGAACGCTGGGGAGACGAGTGGATAAGCTGTTACATAAAAATCAGGCAAGAACTTTCCTGTCAGTGACTTTTGTTTCAACTGACCTGCCATTTTCTTTTAGAAATGAAGACTTTTAAAGTCTTTGTGTTGATCTTTTCACTGTCTTCTCCTGCGTGCTCATCCTGAAACAGTAATTATAAACCATGTGTCAGAGTCTTCAATACAGCAACCTTTGAAAAGAAGATGCAATGTTCTGCATGTCATTTCACCTGGAACCACTCGTGGCTCAGACACTCAAAGGCAGATGGTCTCTTCCTGTAAATAAAACATTTAAAAAATCTGAATTATACGTCCATCGGCTCAGCTGAAATCAAATCTTTCTCATATTTGATTTAAGGACTTTAGAAAGGGCTTTATTTTCAGTCAGAAACTGTTCTTTGAGGAAACTTTGTTGGGACTCACAATGGCCCAGGAGCCCTGATAAATGGCCAAATTCATCCAAGCTCCACAATATAAAGACTGAATATTTAATGAGCTGCAGTGTGTTACAATGGTGTGGACAGTTTGGACAAGCAGGGGAAAAAGTGACAAGGACACGGACCACAAGCTATGGATCCATCTGTTATTCTTTCATTCATAGTCTGGTTATTCCCAGTATCTACTGGCCCATACTGAGCTCTTAGGAATCTCCTACCATCTTTACGCAGATGACAGATGCTTATATTCAGCAACTAAGTAAATGTGGTGTAGTAGGACTGCTGCTGTACTCTGGATCAGGCTGAAGGACCAAGTGGAGGAAACTCTTGGCTTCAGGAGTCCTGCACATGACGTCTGGAGCATCCCAGTTAAGAGTTCCCTCTCCAACCCTCAGCAGCGTTGCACGGTCAGTCTCGCCAGCGAAAGGACATCGGCATACCAAGCTGTCACGATAAAGACAAAACATTGTCTGAAAAAGGTCATAATAAACGTTAACTCTCATTTTATTCATGCTATTCTTTTCAACATGAAGAGTTTTCAGGTTATTTTCAAAATACACTGCTACATACCAGAGGTATGCCATAACACCCACGGCCCTGATGGAGAAAATAGAATAAATCTGTTTATTATTTAAATATCAGTCAAGAAAAATGTTAATACTTAAGTCTTATCAAATCCAGGAGTCAGATAAAAAGTCAGTCTCACCAAATGTCAGTGGCCACAGTGACGGGCTCTTGGTGAACGATCTCTGGCGCAACAAACTCAGGTGTACCAGTCACACTGTACTGGTGTCGGGACGTGTCTATTTCCTGGCAGAAACCAAAATCGCAGAGTTTGATCTCATCTCTTGGTGGATACACCATCAAAATATTATCCGGCTGAAGAGAGACGAAAAGGAAAATAGTCAACAGGGACACATATGTAAGTGGCAACAATAGCATAGCATAGCATAGTTTATTTATATAGCACATTTAAAACACAGCATGGGAGCTGCCCAAAGTGCTGCACAGGCTAAAACAAAACACAACCATTCGAAAGAACTAAAACAGAGGATAAAAATCCCAATAAAGGAGTTATTGTTGTGGAAATCTCACTTTGATGTCCAGATGCAGGATGTTCATGCTGTGGATGTGACCGACCCCCTCTAGAATTTGCTGGACATACAACTGCACCTAAAAGTAGAAATATCAGGATTTTATTTGAACAAAAGCACTACACATGTGTAAGATTCATTTTTTTACCTCTTTTTCTGAGACTGAACCTCTCAGAAATAAATGGTCCAGGAGTCCATGAGAGCAGCAGCTAGAAACAACATTAAAGAGTTTACTGATCTGATGTGTGTGTACAGGACTAAACCTACACTGATACGCTGGAACAGATCAAAGGGAGGATACATTTCAGTGATCAACACCAGTGTGCGTCTGGTGAGAAAGAAGTCCAGCAGACAGGCCACTCTGGGATGAGCCAATCGAGACAGCAGGTCCCGCTCCTGGAAGGCCCTGGTCCGAGTGCTGCTCCGCAGGGGCAGAAACTTGGCAGCAAACACCTCCCCTGTTCTCCTGTGGATGACACGCTTTACCACTCCAAAAGTTCCCCTAAAAGACAAAAAAAAAAATTTCTTTCATAATTTTCTTATGGAACAAACATCATTTTTATTCAATAAAAATAATGTGCACCTTCCGATTTCTTCATGGACGTCATAGACAGAGAATAATTTCCTCCTTCTCCCCAGCTCCACCTCTTTCTCCTCAGTTTCAAGTGGACCTAAGGAGAAACGCCAACTATATTCAGAATGCTGCTGCTAGAGTCTCAGCGAGAACCAAGAGAATCGAGCACGTCACTCCTGTTCTTAAATCTCCACACTGGTTACCACTAAACTACAGAATCAAGCTCAAAGTGCTTCTACTAGTTTATAAATCAGAATATAGGTCAGACGTCCTTCCTGTATATACAGTACACAAAGCAGGGCTCTGAGTTCCTCAGGAAACAGTCAGCTCGCAGAACCTCGGGTCAGAACCAAACAGGGTGAAGCTGCTTTTAGCTACTATGCTGCACACAGATGGAATCAGCATCCTTATGACCTAAAATCTGCCCCAACTCGGGTAACTTTTAAATCAAAACAGAAAACTTTCATGTGTTCTTTAGCATGAATGTTTCTTGTGCTGCACCTTCTGCACTGTAACTGCTCACCCTTTAACTCTGTCTTTCTTTTTTAAATCTAAATTTATTTTGTGTGTATTTTAATTATGCTGTCACATTTATTTTATTCTTGCTATTCTTGCCAATTGTAGAGCAATTTTTTCCCTTTATTTCATTTTTCATTTATTGACATTAAAATAAAAACAGAAAAAAATTACTACAAGCCAAAATGCAAAAGGGGACAGAAAGAAGAAAAACTTATGTTATCTGCCCCTTTTAAGTAAAATAACATTAATACAAAAAAAAAAAATAAAACAATATAGTTCCTGGACTGGTTGGCCCACACAATCTCAACCCATGAATCGAAAAATAAATAAATAAAGCGAAAACGAGTTACACAGAGAGAAGCATAAAGTTGTAGACCTCTATATATACATAAATACACAAATGAATACATAGACTTGTTTCCTTTTTTTTTTCTTTCATCCCCCCAAATTGAATTGCCTCTATGTGTGAAATGTGCCATGCAAATAAAGCTGCCTTTCCTTATATATACAGGAAAGCACTAATCATATCACAACTACCTTCCACTATTCTTTGGTTTTGTGCATTTAACTGAACTTCCAATGTCTCACCTTCTTCAACATTTAACTGGGCTTCACAAAAGGCGTGGCCAGAGTCGTTCTGAGCAAAGCAGGTATACACTCCACTGTCCTCCCCCTCTGGGCACAAAATGGTCAGTGAGCAGCGGGCGCCATGCTGCTCCATCTTTACATTGTCATTGGCTGAAAGCTCCTCTCCATCCTTCAGAGTAAGAATCAGCTCTCAGGTTATGGAGATGATGCCAAAGCTGCAAAGCTCAAACCTTTTGCAACCACTTGAATTTAGAAGTTGCTCATTCATGTGGCTCATTACCTTGTACCACTGTATCCTAGGAGTGGGTCTTCCTGTGATGATGGCTGTGAAGGTTGCTGGTTTTCCTGGTTCTACACACAGGTCCTCAGCAGGTACCTGGATGGAAGGAGCAGCTGAAAAGAAAACTTGATCATTGGTTGTTTATAAAACAGTTGTCGTTGTTTTAATTCCTGCAATTGAGCAGCAAAAGTACCATCTGTGATTTCATGCATGTGCTCTGATATGTAGATCTCTTCTTCTTCCTCTAGGTAGCATGGAGGCAGCTGTCCTGCTTGATCCGATGGAGAGGAGTGAAGATCTGTGATGGCACTAAACCAAGCATTGGAGACAGGAAAAGAAATGTTTCAACTATTAATGAAGAAAAGGAAAAATGTGTCCTATAAAATAGTTTCACATTTCCACTAATAACTAATGATCATGTTTAAAAAAAGCACATTTCTGATTTTGAGTGAAAGAGCCATTTCTTGGCGCATCTGTTACAAACATCCATAAATTATATTCCGCTTTCCAGGACCAGGTTGCAGGGGCAGCAGCCTAAGCAGGGAGGTCCACACTTCCCTCTCACCAGCCATTTGGGCCAGCTCCACTGGGGGAATCCCAAGGCGTTCCCTGGCTGGCCGAGAGACATAGTCCCTCCAGCGTGTCCTGGGTCTTCCTTGAAGTCTTCTCCCAGTTGGACGTGCCTGGAAAACCTCACCGGGGAGGCATTCAGGAGGCATCCTAACCAGATGCTCAAGCCACCTCAACTGGCTCCTTTCGATGTGGAGGAACAGCGGGTCTACTCTGAGCCCCTCCTGGAAGACCGAGCTTCTCACCCTATCTCACCCTGTGGAGAAAACTCATTTTGGCCACTTGTATCCGGTCACTACCCAAACCTTGTGACCATAGGTGAGGGTAGGAACATAATTCAATCGGTAAATTGAGTTTCGCCTTCAAGTTCAGCTCTCTCTGTCATCACGACAGATCGGTACAACGCCCGCATCACTGCAGACACAGCACTAATCTACCTATTGAGCTCATGCTCCATCTTTCCCTCACTCGTGAACAAGACACTTAAACACCTCTGTTTGAGGCTTCACAGTGGTGCAGTGGCTATTGCTGCTGCCTTGTAGCAAGAAGGTCCTGGGTTCAAATATCATATCCCAACCTGGGGTGTTTCTTTAAGGAGTTTGCATGTTCTCCCTGTGCATGATTGGGTTTTCCTCCAGGTACTCCAGCTTCCTCCCCGCCTAAAATCACTACAGTCAGGTTGATTGGTCTCTCTACATTTAGGTGTGTGTGTGTGTGTGTGTGTGTGTGTGTGTGTGTGTGTGTGTGTGTGTGTGTGTGTGTGTGTGTGTGTGTGTGTGTGTGTGTGTGTGTGTGTGTGTGTGTGTGTGTGTGTGTGTGCTTGGTTGTTTGTCCTGTGTGTTTCTGATAAAACATTAACATGAAGTGGAAGTTTACTGTTCAGAGTCTCCAGCAGGAAACAGCATCTTGGCGATGGAGGTGGGGTTGAAGTCGGTCTGTAACCATTTCTTCACAAAGGCAGTCGACCAGCCCTCAGAATCAGCATCTAGAACAAGCAAAAATTAACAAATCAAGCAACATTTTTTTTAATAAAAAATTATTGAAATTTTTCAAACATAGTTACAGCTTTAACATTACTGAAGTGGAAAAAGAAGATTTAAGGACGTTACCTCACAGTCTGAAGATTGTAATAATGTTCAGTCTGTCTTACCTTGCAGCTTCAGGGTCTTACCCCTCTAACCCACCACACCACCAGGACACGGGCACGAGCCCACTCCTGCTTGGGCAGGAAACGGACACTTGCCCAGCACATGGCCATCTTGTAGGAGTGGAGAGTTAGCTGGGCATGCGTTGGCAGGAAGAGAAGGGGGGATGCTGGGTGGTTATTTGTTATCATGACAGAGATGACCTACATGGGAATGGTCCATGTGAAGAACCCCTGCTTTAGTGAAGGGAAGATGGGAAACACGTGAATTATGGATAATGAAAGTGAAACAAACGTGGAGTCAGAAATACAGAAATAAACGTTACTTGGTGGAATTCTGATGAACTGCTGCTAAAAATTGACCAACTCAACAAAACAAAATCCAAATACCTGTTTTTTTCTGTTAATTAAAAAACTATTTTATGTTTTTTAACTTGTACTGTTAGTCTGTTGGACCATTGGTTGTGCTTGCTCCAGCATGAAAATACAAACACATCATGTCTGTTACAATCCATGCCTTCAGTAGAAAGAGGAGACATGGTGAAAAACATTTAATGAAGTCAACACTTCAATGCATCTTCACGAGGGTATGATGTTCACACTGAGGGGCTGCTGTCAGATTCCACTTATTATGGCTTCAGGTCAACAAAAGAACTCTGTTAGCAGTTTCTGTCAGCTGATCATTGTCGTGTGCATCACGTGCATGAGTGGATTCACCAAGAAACTTGTTATTAGAGGAAAAAATGATCAGAAACAAAATCATACACAGAAGTTGTTTATGTGAAAGTGTTATATAAATGTTAGAGTTAAGCAATCTACACGAATAATCCCGTATACACGTGCATGTAAGTGTGACCTTGACTGGTGCCCTTTTTAAAAAAAACAAGTCAGTCAGCAGTTCAAATCAGTTCAAAATGTCATGAGTTGGGGTGAGTGTTCCTCTTGCTAACACACAAGCTGTGAGTTGTTTTTAGGAGAGGGAGAAGGTGAGGTTCCTGCTGTGCTGGATCAGTAATAAGCGGGTCTGGCATTTAAGGAGGATGGAGAACACAGCTTGACGCCGGATGATTGCTACCCAGCCCTTCGTCTGAGTCTCCAGGTTTTTGCTTCAGTGTCTCTAGCAACTTCTTGTGATCGTGTGTATTGTTTTGCTTGCCTCAGGTCTCTGATATCTGGATCTCATACGACGACGCCATAACCACTGGATCTCTCTCTGCCACGTTCGTCCATCCTCCTGACCAACCTGCTCTCTCGCCATTCTCCCTCTCACCCTCTGGACCATTGGACTCGCCCCAGCTCACTACCTCCCCCCACTTCCTCAATCCCCTACCCACCGTAAGCCTCTGCTCAGATCCTCATCTTCAGTGACTTACCTCCCAGGACTCACCTGACTCTGCTCTCCCCCCTAGACGCTGTGATCCCAGCTTCCTGACCACTGGAATTCCCAGTGCGCCTTTAGTTCTTGTTTGTTCAATAAATAACTATTTTTTCACTTACCCTTTGTGTTGTGGTTGATTTTGCACGTCTTGGGTTAGACTCATACCTCAGAACATGACAGAATCATCCGGCCCAACTCCTAACCCTGTAGATACAGCCCTCGCAGAGCTTTCCCACAGGATGGCGCAACAGGAACAAACCCTTCCATTACTCTTGGAACAGTTAGCCGCCGCAAACAACCGTTATAACCAGTTGGAGGCACTGGTTTGGTAAATACATGAGCGGTTGCCTCAACAGCTGGTTGCACCAGCGGAACCATTGACAATATCTCCTGCAGCGCCAAATCCACCCAGACCGGAAACCCCAGGTTCTACGGAAGTCAACCACTTCCGGTTAGCGGTACCCCCGCCATCAGTTACTTTCAGTGGTGAGTTTGATGACTACCATAGTTTTCTTCTCTAATGCAAGCTGGCTTTCGAACGCTCCCTAGGGGCCTTTGTCTCAGACCCCACCAGGATTTCTTACACTGTGGGCTTGTTAAGAGGTAAAGCATTAAGATAGGCTGAAGCCAAGAGCCATTGTGATGGTTTTTTAACGGGGTCTTATGATGATTTTCTGCATGATTTTAAATTGACTTTTGGTCATTTCGAGTCTTCCTCGGATGTAAGGAAGAAGCTCTGGCACCTCTCACAAGGACAGAGTTCTGTAGCGTACATTAGCAGCGAGGACAACCTGGAACGAGGATCGCTGCATTTACTGAGGCCCTCAAAGACAAGATTCGGAATCAGCTGGCCCTTTGTCCTGAAACTTGACCGCTGGAGGAGCTGATCAGGTTGGCCATCTCTATAGATAAGAGACACCGTAAACTTCAACGGTCATTTCCCAGATCTCAGTCACCGCCTACTAGAAACCAGCAGCCAGGAGTTGGTAGCCGTCCCCCGTCCGACTCCACTGAGGAGCCCATGCAGATGGGACTAACAGGCCTTACACCTGAGGAAAGGCAACACCGTCTCAGGTCAGGTCTTTGCATGTACTGTGGTTTGTCTGGACATTTTGTACACAGTTATCTTTGTTAAAAGACAGAGCCCACCGGTAAAGCCAGGACTACTGGTGGGCTGTAATGCAGAATCCTCTGGTTCTCTGTGTTCGCTCCCATGCTCTGTGCTTTTTAATAATAGGCACCATCAACTCAAGGCTTTATTGGACTCTGGCTGTGAACATTCCTTGCTGGATCCAAGTTTGGTAGAAAAGTGGAGGTTTCCAACCACTTGTCTCATGACCCCTCTGTCAGTTTCCTCCTTGGATGGAAGGAATCTCTCCACTATCACCCACCAAAAAGTACCCCTCCAATTAAACGTGTCAGGTAACTACACAGAATCTCTGGACTTTGTTTATCCATCCCCACGTTCCCCGCTGGTATTAGCACATTCGTGGTTGGTTCTTCACAACCCACACCTGAACTGGCGGTCAAACAGAGTGGAAGGATGGGGCTTGGAGTCCTCTCTAAGATGTATTTGCTCCATCTCTCCCATACCCAGTCACCCCACACTACCACCTGTTGAACCTATTGATCTTTCAGAAGTACCACCGGCATATCATGACCTTCGCCAAGTATTCAGTAAGGATCACGCATCTTCATCACCACCCCACAGACCTTTTGATTGTCACATTGTTTTGTTGCCGGAGCACCTCTCCCATCTAGTTGCCTGTACCACCTCTCTAAACCAGAGAGAGCAAGAGCATAGAGAAATACATCCAGGAGTCTCTGGCCATTGGTACTATCAGACATTCTTCTTCACTCACTGATATGCCTGCAGCCTCTCAGAGTTTCTGCTGCTCTAAACATTAAAATAATTATTTCATTTTCTGTTCCTCACTTCCGATTAATGGTGTCTGTTTGTTGCAATCACCAGGTACAAAAAGGAACTTGTTTTTTATGTGACTTTTTTTCTGTCCTGTCTGTTCATTATCTTCCTGCATCTTAATCCTAAAGAAAACTGCTACATGGCTTCATTTACATTCACCTTATGAGTTACCTTTGAACTGCAGTTCTAAAAGATCTACCGACCGCAAAAACAGCGGAATGTGCACTGCACGCCAGCCACACCGATGAGGTGCGTCACCGGAGGACAAAACAGGTGATGCGCCCCGCAGCAGCGAAAAGCACCAGGCACAAATAAAAGAGAAAATATGAAAGGAAATGAGCCCACATTAACGATCGCATGTAAAATTTGTTTTTGAGGTGGCAGCACCTAATTTGATAATGCTACTTTGACCGTGCTCAGGATGCAGATGTCTGGAGCGTGTCAACGATCAGAGCTTTGCATGCGCAACCTGGTTAAGGTTAGGATGGGGGTGAGGGGAAGGTTAAATTGCAAGAGGGTAAAGGTCACAATTCGGTCAAATGTCCGTTTTATGGCGGGCGTCAGATACCGATGCTCTGGCATAGCGCGTTGCCTCCCAACGCGCAGGGGCTCATCACCTGCAGTCTTTTCCGAGGACTGCATCTTGTCGGTCATTGTCACGTGACAGCGACTAGTCTATGAAAGTCATAAAAAGTCACTACAGAGCAGTGAAGTCGACTAGTTGATTTAACCTCTAGTTGAAGGCGGATCCAGAGAAGGTACGGGCAGTCACAGAGTGGCCCACGCCATCCACCAGAAAACAGTTGCAATGATTCCTGGGTTTTGCACATTTTTATCGACAGTTCATCCGCAACTACAGTCAGACTGTAGCCCTGTTAACAATTCTTATGTCTGTCAACAAGACTTTCCTTTGGTCTCCAGATGCTGATGCAGCTTTCCAGGCACTTAAAGTAAGGTTCACAAATGCCGCTGTTCTTCAGACTGGACACCAGTCAGCAGTTCACCCTGGAGGTCGATGCCTCTGACACCAGGGTTGGGGCTGTCCTATCTCAGATATCGCCCTCTGACCATTGTCTACATCCCCGCGCTTTCTTCTCTCACCGCCCAACTCCAGCTGAGAGCAGGCATGATGTTGGAGACCGAGAAATACTTGCTGTCAAGTTGGCTATCGAGGAATGGAGACATTGGTTGGAGGGTGCTGAACAACCCTTCATCATTTGGACCAACCACAAAAACCTGGTTTATCTCAAGGAAGCTAAATGCCTCAACCCATGTCTGTACAGGTAGTCACTGTTCTTCTCACGTTTTAATTTTGTGATCTCCTATCGACCAGGTCCTAAGAACACTAAGCCTGATGCCCTCTCCCGTCAATATGCACCAGACCATGAGCCCGAGCCCACCACCATTCTACCTCCTGCATGTATCATTGGTGGCATCACCTGGGAAATAAGGGATCAGGTTTTGGAGGCCCTCAAGACTGACCCAGGCCCAGGTAATAGTCCTCCTGGTAAACGTTTTGTTCCACAGGCGATGAGAAGCAAGCTTATCCATTGGGCACACACTGGCAAGTTTGCTATCCATCCCAGAGTGGGGCGTACCATTGCCCTCATTAAACGTACCTCCTGGTGGCCATCCATATTCCAGGACGTTAAAGACTACATCTCAGGCTGCCACACATGTGCACAACAGAAAGGGGACAATCAGCCACTGGCAGGTCTGTTGTGTTCTTTACCCGCTCCTTCTCACCCTTAGTCTCACATTGCTGTAGATTTTGTGTGTTTGGTTTACCTGATTCTCACGGTTTCCACACCATCCTCACCATTGTAGACCTTTTTTCTAAAGCTTGTCATCTGGTTCCGTTAAAATTACTCTCAACCTCTGTTGTCAGCACCCAGCTACTTATCAAACATATTTTTCGCCTTCATGGGAACCCCGAGGAGATTCTATCAGACCGTGGCCCCCAGTTCATTTCCAAGGTGTTGCCTCCTGAATTTGTTGCCTCCTTGGGAGCTCGCCCTCACCTCTGGATTCCACCCACAAACCAATGGTCAGTGTGAGCGCATGAATCAGCAGCTGGGCGCCATGCTTCGTTGTGTTTGCTCAGCCCACCTGTCCACCTGGAGTGCTCAACTCGCCTGGGTTGAGTACGCCCACAACAGCCATGTGTCTACAGCTGCAGGTCAGTGCCCCTTCGAGTCCTCCCTTGGTTTTCAACCCTCACTTTTCCCTCTTCAGTCCAACGTCACCTCCACCATCCCTCAATTCCTCTGTGGTGCCAGGCATGCCTGATCCACTACAAAGGTGGCTCTGGATCACATGGCCCGAAGGAACCAACGTCTGGCTGATCGCCGCCGGCGACCGGCCCCAGTCTACACCCCTGATCAGACAGTCTGGTTATCCTCCAAGGATGTTCCTCTCAAAGCCACGTCCCGGAAACTGGCACCCCGGTTCATCGGCCCCTTCAATGTGGCTGCAGTCCCCGCTCCCTCCACGGTTCATCAAGATCTCCCTCGTTCCCTTCGTATCTATCCTGTGTTCCATGTGTCTCTTATTAAACCCTTGGTCTCTAGTCCCTTGTGCCCCACACCTGCACCTCCTCCGCCTGCCCGTTTCTACAAAGGGGGTCTGGTGTGCTGCCTCAGGTCTCTGATATCCGGATCTCATACGGTGACGCCATAACCACCGGATCTCTCTCTGCCACGTTCGTCCATCCTCTTGACCGACCTGCTCTCTCGCCATTCTCCCTCTCACCCTCTGGACCATTGGACTCGCCCCGGCTCACTACCTCCCCCCACTTCCTCAATCCCCTACCCACCGTAAGTCCCTGCTCACATCCTCATCTTCAGTGACTTACGTTCCAGGACTCACCTGACTCTGCTGTCCCCTCTAGATGCTGTGATCCCAGCTTCCTGACCACTGGAATTCCCAGTGCACCTTTAGTTCCCATTCGTTCAATAAATTACTTTATTTTTCCACTTACCCTCTGTGTTGTGGTTGATTCTGCATGTCTTGTGTTAGACTCATACCTCAGAACATGACAAAAACATGCAAATGTAAAAACAAAATAAGTAATAATCACTGACTTTTAGGTTAAACGTTGCAGACAGTTTACCAAGAATGGAAATTTTACATGCATGAATCCTTTTATCTCATGCATTGAACCTGATACAGTTAATAAAGGAGCCGAGATTTACCACAGTATGCAAATAAAATCTGGCTATTATTTACATTTTAAACATTTATGCAAGTTGCCATAATAGTTGGGAATCTATCGACAGCTGTGATGGTAGTCGGGACCACGTATGATGTGAGTGTGTGTCAAATGAAAGGAAATGTAAGTATGAGAGTAAAACCTCAAAATGTTCAAACTTGATAGAATGGATGAATGAAGAGAAACCGATCCAAATGGTTTACTGTGAAAATGTAACAGGATCTGGAGTGAAAGGGGACAATGGCATGTGCTTCATCCCTTAACGGTCGACCTGATCAAAGCGTGGTCCACATGTGGGAACAACCCATGATGGGTTTTCTTACATGTGTGGAAGGCGTTTACCTCAGGGCCTCTGACAGTCCTACCTTTAGCAGGTAAGTCCTGTGGCTGGTCACTCTGGATATCAGTCCGTGGCACAAAAGCAGGACAAAGACCTGCTTTGCTCTTCACACAGCCAAGTTCATTAGACAGCTAAACAGAGCAAAAATATTAGCAATTTACCATTTAATTGTAGAAGGCTAGCTTCATTATGAACATGTTTTTTTTTTTACCTCACACTCATAATGTCCTATATCTGCCTCTGTGGCCCCAATAACGGTTAGAGACAAGATCCTACTCCGGCTGTCATTCACAATGTGATATTTATCATTGCTGATCAACTCGCTGCCATCTTTCAACCACCTACAAGCCAGAGGATTCATGTTGTCAGCAGGTACATGCTGTGTATTGTGATTACCTGTCTGTGGTGTCGTACCTGACTCTTGGTAAAGGAGTAGTTAGTGTGGAACAGGAGAACAGAATATCCTCTCCTTCTATCAGACAAGCACTCTCCAGTCGACTCACAAACCTGGGTGGAGCTGTAAGGGAAAAAATACATGTAGGAGACTAAAACATGGATAAGTAGTGCTTTAATAGAGCTAGAGGAGACAGATATTAGTGCTGTATGAGCAGCATTCAAACTCACCCTGCACCACCACCCTAGCCAGAGTTGCAGCCTGGCCTATGGAGCTGGTAGCATAGCACATGTACTGTCCTGAGTCCTCGGCCGTTAGACAGTCCAGGACGAGACTGCACGTCCCCGACCTGTCGGCTGTGATGATGTGACGTGGGTCGTCCTCCAAAGGAAGACCATCTAAAAGACATTTATCAGTGTTTTACTCCAAACCTGATCATGAACCAGTTAAAGTGTAGGATGTTATTCAGAAACAGCCACAACACAAAACCTTGTTACTTGTTATACTTGTTTGTTGCAGTGTGCAGCACACGAACAAAAGTATTATTTTAGCCCATTTACAGTTGTCATGCATCGTTACATTTTTAAGGCCTGTGCACAGAAATGTTTGCATTTTAATGAACAAAATCCAACCTTTAATCCAGTGGATAACTGGCTTTGGAGCTCCTGACACCCTGCAGGCCAGTTTGATCGTCTGTCCTGTCTGTTTTATACAGTCACACAACAGAGACTCAAACACTGGAGGTCCTGCTCATGAGAAAAAGAAAAACCAACACTTGCACATTTGGGACATATTTTCATTAGTGACTTTATTCTCAATAACATAAAGTAATATTTCATTTTAATTGTATTGTTTGATGAAGTGTTTGAGCTTATTTTTCATGCTTGAGGTATTAAGCCTTACTGCTGGAGGACTGGCTGGACTGTTGCTGCAGCTCCTTCAGGTCTTTCAGCCAGGATAGTTTGGCTAGAGTGGAGTGGGTCTGGAGTGTGTACCTCCTTATGGAGCCTCTGTGCTCATGCCACAAACCCCAAGACCCGTCCTCTCCACCTACAGTCTCCTTCATCTCCACATCATTCAGCTGGACACGTTTGATTTAAACAATGACTCTGATTATTTATCTGTTACTTGCAGCAAACTGGTTGAAAAGCTGCAAAAATAAATATTACCTTCATTTTGTTTTTGAAGATGTATGTGTCCCGGTTCATGCTAATGTCTCTCTTCAGTTTACACAGAACTATACACTCCTTAAAGAGAAAGACTTGTCTCTGATGCCCTCTAGAGGCAGTCTTAATTTCTGGAGATTCCTCCCATACAGTGAAGACTCCCTGAAAGGTCAGATTAGGCACACAATTTAGGAAAATCTAGGAAATGTTCACAAAGGATTCACAACATAAAAAGAAAAATGGGACCAGTTTTAATTAAAAGTAATATTGTATACAAATGGGAGATAAACACTGTCTATCATGTCTTAGAGAACCTTTTCTCAAGTTTTAATTGGTTGTTCTTGCTGCGCTTGGTGATCACACCTCCTCACCTGTCGGACAGGTTCACCCAGAGCAGTCAGAGGAGCTGGATAGTTCTCGATCAGGGACACTTGATGCATGTTGTCAGACCTCCAAGGCAAACAGGACACCACGGAGAAGGCATCTTCTAATAGAAAACAGCTGTGGTTGCTCTTGGCTTTGTTCTTTATTAACTCCTGGTGATGGATTAACAAATTAAATACTTTATTACACACAATGATAACAATGAAATGAATAAAGAGGAGAACCATGTGAATATTTTTAGTCTTTATGTAACAAGACCGAATACAATAAAGATGCTGACCTTCAGTAAAGCTTGGTAGGTCTGAATCCTCTCCACTGGTTGCTGGAGAAAAGTGAGAACATCCATGAGAGGAGCATCTGGCCTGTCTGGTTCTGGCATCTCCTGGAATGGTTTGGACAAAATAAAGAAGAAAAAGAACAATCATTAGGCTTGTGCGGTCATAAAGTTACTCAGCATACAGTCTGTAGGCGTGTTCATGTCTGAATCCAAGAATCAAGTACATTGAAGAATTGCTGGATGGTTTTGTCGCTGATGCAGGCCTCTGCTTGAGCCTGTCCCACCATGTAGTGAAGATACTTTTCAAAGAGTTCAGTGTGTTTGATCAGAAGCATGGCGACGTCATCATCAGTGACACACCCTCTCAGACCAGGAAGGATGGAGCTGAAAAGATCAAATAAAGTAAGAAATTACACCTGTCATAAAGAACGAAAATGACTTACACTTTAACGTGAGTTGAATTACAGTTAAAATTGTGTGTGTGTGTGTGTGTGTGTGTGTGTGTGTGTGTGTGTGTGTGTGTGTGTGTGTGTGTGTGTGTGTGTGTGTGTGTGTGTGTGTGTGTGTGTGTGTGTGCATGCATCACCATTCATGAACGAGCACAATGTCTTTGATGTTCCTGAAAATGACCTCCTTCTGGTTGAGGACGTTGATGGGGACGCGGTGGCTGTAGTCCAAATGGTTGAGCCGGTGGGAGATGAACATCTTCATTGCTTTTACAAACTCCTCCTCTCCATCAATCAGGCCTTGGATCAGCTGACTAAAGAAACCCAAAAAAGCAGACACAATCAGTATCAACAGTTCAGGTGAAAATTAATTGTGAATTTTCACATAAAGGGCCATTATTAAAGGGGCATTATGGAAGTTTGACAGCCAAAACATGTATAGAAATAATACATTTCTTCTTCATACATTCTCCTGCAGTGCCCTGGTCCTGAAGAATGAGCCCTGGCATTTTTACTGTGATTGCCTGTTTTTCTGTAAAATCACAGAAAAAGAGAGCTGCTTGGGTCGAGCAGGCTGCTTCATGCGCTTTCACGCTCAGGCATAGCCCTCCGAACCGTTCTTTGAACATTGTTTCAGTTGTCATCAAGGATATAAATGTTACAGATACAGAATACATCACTGGTGATTTAGCTCGTCTAGTAAGGCTTTGGGCTCCTGTGCAGAAGACCCGGGTTTGATTCTCGATGTGAACATAGTTTTTGTAGAATTTCTTTTTTACATTAATGGTATATTTTTTTACAGTAAGATGCCCACATTTTTATTTGAGACTCGCCAAACCGCATTGAATTCACAGATAAAAAAGATGTGGGTTCAACTTTCATTTTGGAACCATTTTTCAAGCAAGGGAAGGGAATGATCTGAGCATGCAGGAGGACTGACCCATCATAAACCTTTGTCGGCTGTGCTGAAGAGAAAGGTACAGAACCAAATTATTTAATTAATTAGCTGTGCGTTCTCCTGTCCTCTGTCCTCCGGGCCACACACACACACACACACACACACACACACACACACACACACACACACACACACACACACACACAAGGGACTGTCTCAGCTGTTATTTTCGTTAAGGAGTGTGCACGTACAACATGCGCGCCTCGTGCACGAGCCTCCTATTGAAGCTGCCGTTACGCTTTTGGCCTGAGGGGGCAATCGCGAGCATAAAAATTCAAAACTCCGTAAAGTCCCTTTAAAGTTCTTTGAGCCACAAGAGAAACAGACCTCAGAGCTCTCCTGTATTCTTCTCCCGTAGACCCAATTCCATCAAGATCTTCTTGAGGAACTCTTTGTGGGAAGATTTCCTGTTTCAAAACAAAGGTCTGGAGTTTTAAGCATCAGCACACATCCACCTGGGTTTTACCATCAGTATTTGTAGATCTAACTTTTCTCTTCTTCTCCAGATACGCCGGACACAACCATCCCTGCCGAGATGTGCTGGTTTTGGTGGGTTTGGTTCTCACCAACCATCTGTCAGGATGAACAGAGTCCAGGACCTCCACAAACTGACCCTCCTTCAGAACAAAGCTGTCCTTATTTCCACTACAAGGACTGCAGTCGGCTCGAGCGACGTACATTTCAAATGTCTGAGGAGCAAAAAGAAACTCTTAAAGGCGTGTGGCTCACCTAAAATAAAATTAATTAATTAATTAATTAATTATAAATTAAATTATAAATATAAATTAAATTAAAAGGGATAATAATGGTCACTCTGAGTTTTTCATGCAAGCTGAACATGAAAATAGTCTCCTACACCCATCTCCTGCATCAGCTTCTGACAGAAAATAGACGGTAAAACTCTAAGATTTGAAAATCTTGGCAGATCTACGTCACACTGCACCTGACATTCATGGGCCCACTCATCTTGACTCACGACGGGGAAGGCTGTTGTTGGTTTAGAGTCCAGGAAACAGCAGAGAACATCTCAGATAGTTTAAGCTAACCATTAGCATTAGCAACTCCACCACACACCAGAACTCCTCCAGGCTTGTGTTATTTGTGGAGATAATGCATCAACAGTGCAGAGCAAACAGAGTCAGTGGTAGAGTCGCGTTGCTGTTAGCCAACTGACTAATTCTCATTTACAACGATGACCTGTTGCTGCTGCTTCTTGGCCAGATCGTCGTTGTGAATGAGATCTCAATCGACTTATCTGGTTAAATAAATGTCAAATAAATAAAATTAGAGGAGAGATGTCCAAATATCAGCAAAATTTGGACATCTGAAGCTCAACTCTGATGTGGCTGACTTCTAGATCCTGAAACAGGCGCATCTGAGCTTTTTCCCCCCAGAGTATGACTTACATGGAATTCATTCCTACTAGAGACTACCGCAAATGAATTGATTAAAATGAGTGAAACACACCTTTAAAGCTGGCAAAGAAAAGTATTTTGTTAATCACACATTTATACATCATGTAAACCTAAACAGCCAAGAGTCAAGCATGTTACCTCTCGTCTGTCCTGCTCTCCCTCTGACTCAGATCCAGATACGGTGCTTGTTAAAGGTGTGTGAGACCGGTGCTTTGGAGATGATGCTCTCAGTTTACCAACATGAGCCCCTTTGAATCAAAGCAAATGGAAGCTTTATTAGGTAAATGTAAAAAAAAAAAGTTGTGAGGAAACGTTTGAACACACAAATGCCCCTGTGTTTCCACAACGTTTTCACCGACCTCTGACATTCAACAGTTTCTTAAGTGGTTGCAGAGCAGCTTTCTCTTTCTTGTCACTCTTTGGAGGTACTTTGTCCTCTGGTTTCGGTAATTTGCTGTGACAATAATCATAAGGTCATTTGTTGAGATGTCCATGAGAACACGGTTAAAGAAAACAAAGGAAAGGTGCAGAATAGAACCTGGTACTGTCTGGAACTGTCTCAACAGGTTCCATTACATCTGGAGCTGTGTCATAATCAGATGGACTTGACACTGTCGAAGGTAAAATATTGCATTTAATTTTTTACCTCATAGGACAAATGTATGGCTAAAAAATAAACATTTAAAGCTTTTACAGCTTTAGAGGGAGAGTTTAACTCACTGGAGCTGACAGCGACTAGTGAGGATCGTCTCTCTTGCAGACTCCTCTGAGTGTCCTGTTCTGTCAGGTTGAAGGCCTCCCACAGAGACATACTCACACTCTCTACATAGTCTTCAGCATGCGCTCCTGAAGCTGGCTCCTGACTCTGAGGCTGATTCTGAGTCAGAGGTCCAGTCGGGACTTCAGGTTTTGTTGGTGCGAGCTGCAAAGGCGTTATGGCAGCGAGTGGTGGGTGTGCGCCCTTCTGGGGGGCTTCAGCCGGCGGTACGGTCTTTACTACTGAGACGTTCCCATTGTAGGAGGACACTCCGAACATATTAACCACCTCACAGGTATAAATCCCACCATCGCTGTGAGTTAGGTTTTTGATTACAAGAGTGCATTCTCCACTCGCCGTCATTTCAACCTGGCATCGCACATCATTTGTGATTTGGTGACCGTTTCTCAGCCAACGCACGGTGCTGGGCTTCCCTTCTGCCACACACTTCAGAGTGAGCGTACCATGAAGATCAGCTGTCTGGTTCCCAAACACCTCTTTAAAAACTGGCCGCATGTCTCTGCGGGTTTTGAAGCCTTTGAAAGCTGCCTGGATCTTGACCGCAGCCACTTGCATTAGGGTTTCATCCTCTGAGTTTAGGTCGGCCTCTGGAGGCTCAGGTGGATGCAGCTGCAGCTCTTCTGTTCCTCTGTCTGCACGCGAGACTATCGGCTGGATCTGGCTAGGCGGCAGCTCAGCCAAGGCCTCAGAGAACGTTTCATCTTCTGTAATGTAGAGGAGAGGAATGTCCTCCACCATCTTTGCTGCGAGTTCTTCCTCTCTTCTTATTGGCTCGACTGCCAGTTTCGTGTCATGAACCAGTCCAGGTTCTTTTCGGATTGGTTTAACTGGTTGTTTCGTTTTTTCCAGCGGTACGATGAACTGGTCCATCTCCACTGTCAGCTTCTCTTCGTTCTCTTTTCTCAAAGACATTTTTGGTGGTTTCATCAGCCTCTCCTCAGCTGGCACTGCCACAGCCTTTACCAGCTCTTGCTCGTCCTCATCGGTCTCTGTGTCCCTTGACACTTGTTTTTCCATTCCTCTTTTTACTTTGCTTTTTAGCCTTGCAGGTGGCTTTGGGGAGGCATCTTCAGACAATTTCTCATTAAGTTTCTCGGGTTTTTCCAGTGATTGTTTCTCCAGCAGATGTACGGATGTCGGTTTTGGTGGATTTATCCCTTCCAGTGTCACCTTGGATTCTTGACTCTTCTCACTTTCTGTCTGTTTTTCTTCAGAAACATTCTTGGAAGACTTGGTAACTTGAGGAATGGCATCCTCTGTCTCGTCTGAAAAACACCTGACTCCATGTGCTACCTTTGTCTTACTTCTTACTGGAGGCATCAAAGGTTTCACTTCCATCTTCTCTGTTCTTTTTTCTGAAGGTTTAAGGTGTTTGTCAGTTATTTGTTTCTCATGAACCTGTTCTTGTGTTTTCACAGGTTGTTGGTCATCCTGACTGTTCTTTCCAACTGCTGTTGATGGTTGTTTCTCTTTCTGATGACCTTCATTTGTTTCCTCAAAGGACTTTCTTTGCCGTCTCGTGATCTTTTCAGTTTTATCATCCTTCTCCGTCCGTTTTAGCTCATCCTGAGTTTTGCTCACTGACTGACAAACCTCAGGGAAGACTTTCACAAAATCCTCCAAGCTGTCCCCTGGTTGTCTTTTTTTCAAGAAAACATCGTTTTCTTTCCTTATTGGCTCCTCGACCTTCATGCCAGCCCTTAGATCCTTCTCTGATAGTCTCGGTGGTTTAGCATCTTTCTCTTGAACTTCACTGTCTGTTAATTTATTCATTTCCACTTGCTTTTCCTTTTGCTGTGTAACATCAAAGCCTTTGTCTGTTGCTTTCACATGCTGGATGCCTTTTTGAACGTCTTCAAGCTCAAATGCCTTTAAGTCAAAAACTGGATCCACGTCTTTCTCAGAACTAGCAACAGACATTCTCCTGTTAGTTCTCTTTTTGGGCTCAGGAGGAACAGATTTGGCCTCTGGAAGACCAGGGCCGTCCTTCTCTGGTTCTTTTGACACTTGTGGAAGAACTGAGGTGGATCCTGCTTTTGGTAGAATTGGTTGTGCTACAAACAGGAGGACAAATATTACTACTGATTTCTTTAAAGCTTGCAAAACACACTTTAAGATGTACACACCTTTTACTTGCACTGTTGCAGAAGTTTTTGCACTCCCAGCGAGACAGGAGTAGTTACCACTGTCTTCAGACTTGAGCTCCTTGATGTGGAGCTGGACCAAACAGCTGCTGTGTTTCATCTCGAACCTTCTGCTGGACCTCAGAGGAAGATTATTCTTCTTCCACTGGACAGGCACTTCAGGTTTGGATAACTCACAGCTCATGGAAGCTGTACTGCCCACCACAGCCTCAATATTTTGTAATTCTTTGCTGAAGAATGGGAAGAGTTCTAAGAAGGTGGAGTGAAGCATATGTGAAGAGTCAAAAATGGATTAAAATATATATCTTTAGAGCTTGGGTGTGTTTGTGAGCATTAGTGTTTCCTATCAGGGACAAACCATGAAAAATCCATGTACAGACACATTTAGTTCACTTCAAGTAAACACTTTAGACTTATATAGACTAAAATATCCTAAAATACCATTTATGTATTTTCCAACCTTACATGCACTCACCTTTAACAACAACAGCAGCAGAGGTCTCTGCAGCTCCGCTCTGACATGTGTAGCTGCCGCTGTCCTCAGGTGTGAGATCTTGGATTTCCAGCTTGATGGAGCAGCCATCCTGCTTCATCTGGAACTTCCTGCTGGTTCTGAGAGGCATCGTGTTTTTCTTCCACAGCACAGACACTCCAGGCTTAGACACTTGACAGACCAGAGATGCTGTCCCTCCCTCCTCAGCTTCCACCTTTTGTAACTCTTTCACGAAGAAGACTGGAAGTTCTGAAGAACATAATAATGATACGACATTTTTGCCCATCTGTTATGACAAAATACTAAATAATACTGAAAGTTGATCATATAATTTCATAAATTCACAGTTATTGGGCTTCCCTGAGTCACAAACCTTGAACTGATAACATTGAAGTTGTTTCTGCAGCTCCAGTCTGACACGTGTAGCTGCCGCTGTCCTCAGGTGTGAGATCTCTGATGAGGAGCTGGAGGACGCAGCCGTCCTGCTTCATCTCATACTTCCTGTTTGACCTGAGCGGGAGTCTGTTCTTCTTCCACTGCACCGGTACACCTGGTTTAGACACCTCACAGCTCAGAGAGGCCGAACCTCCCTCCTCAACAGCCACGTCTTTCAAATTCTGCTTGAAGAATGGTGGGAGCTCTGAGGACATGCATTTGGATGGAAAAAAGGGGGGAAAAAACTATATTTTGCATAGAATTATGGCTTATTTACAGCTGTTTTGCTGTTTTTAGTATATCAAAGTGGTGAGTTGTCATGGTGTATTAACAGATCATCAAAAAAGAGCTATATTTGTTTAACAAAGAAATAATAATAATTGGTTCCCATACAACAATTTCAATGGTTTTTAAAAGAGTTTTATATGATCCTCTTTTCCAAATTCACAAACCTTTAACAGTCACAGCTGCAGAGGTCTCTGCAGCTCCAGCCTGACACGTGTAGCTGCCGCTGTCCTCAGGACTCACATCCTTGATGTTGAGCTGTAAGATGCATCCATCTTGTTTCATCTCATACTTCCTGTTGCTTCTCAGCGTCAGGCGGTTTTTCTTCCACAGCACAGACACTTCAGGCTTAGACACTTGACAGACCAGAGATGCTGTCCCTCCCTCTTTGGCCTCCACATTTATTAAGTTCTTCTTGAAGAATGGAGGAAGCTCTGGGGGAAGGCAAGAGTGCTAACACTTATTCACACCACATCTTATAGAATTATTTAGGTCAAAGTTCAAATCCTGCTGAATCCTTATAAGCTAGAGCTAGAAATTCAAAGAAATGTCTGCATTGTGCAACATTGTACAGGTGCTGGTCACAAAAGTATATGCAAGGTGTCTTTTGACAACTGTCAAGTCAGCAGTCCTCCCCATGTGTGTCCTACAGAACTAGACTGAGACCATTTAAAAGCTTTTTCAGGTGTTTTGAGTGAATTTACTGATTAGAGTGTGGCACCAGGGGTCTTCATGTTGAACCTTTTCACAATAGTCTAATAATCAGAGATACTGAATTAGAGATTTTCATTAGTTGTCAGTTATAACCATCAAAACTTAAAATAAATAAACATTAGAAATATATCAGTCTGTGTGTAATGAATGAATCTAACATACAGGTCCTTCTCAAAAAAATTGCATGTTGTGATAAAAGTCATTATTTTCTGTAATGTACTGATAAACATTAGACTTTCATTAGATTCATTACACACAACTGAAGTAGTTCAAGCCTTGTATTGTTTCTAATATTGATTATTTTGGCATACAGCTCATGAAAACCCAAAATTCCTATCTCAGAAAAATAGCACATCATGAAAAGGTTCTCTAAACGAGCTATAAACCTAATCATCTGAATCAACTAATTAACTCTAAACACCTGCAAAAGATTCCTGAGGCTTTTAAAAACTCCCAGCCTGGTTCATTACTCAAAACCCCAATCATGGGTACGACTGTCGACCTGACTGCTGTCCAGAAGGCCATCATTGACACCCTCAAGCAAGAGGGCAAGACACAGAAAGAAATTTCTGAATGAACAGGCTGTTCCCAGAGTGCTTGTCATGGATTTTATCAATATGTTTATCAATAACCCATTTCCTATAGTGAAGAGAGAAGGAGACAATGAGCAGAGAAGTCAAACAGTTATAACTGTGGCAAAATGCTGAAGCAAATGCCTCGAACATCTGTTCACAAGGTTTATTTATAGGGAGAGATAAGAGGTAGAGAGAGAGTCAGTGTGTGTGTGTGTGTGTGTGTGTGTGTGTGTGTGTGTGTGTGTGTGTGTGTGTGTGTGTGTGTGTGTGTGTGTGTGTGTGTGTGTAGCTCTGGGGGCAGTAAGCTCCGATACAGAGCCAAGGTCTGTTTTGTCACATTGAAAGTAAACATGATGTGCAGCTCTGGTGGCTAATCTGGAGAACTGGAGGCTCTCCGAGTCTATTCCGCCTTGAGCCCCCGAATTGCCTTGAAACGGCCCTGGGTGTGTGGAACAGAGATTTGAAGTTGCTCTGAATTGTAAATATATAAACTTTACATACTTATTAACCATTGCTTTATACAGTTAAAACGTGTAGGGGGATAAATTCACCTTCTTTTTCATTCTCAAGCACTTTGTTTTTGTTTTCTTTTTTAACTTGTTTATTTCCCTGTCCTGTCTGTCTCTTTTCTACCAGCATGTCGTCTCAATGCTCCAGAATAACTGATGCCTTGTTTTTCTACTTTTTCGCCTCACGAACTATTTTGAACTAATCAAACGGATCTCCCCCCCGGAATGCGTCAGCGCAGCGCGGCCGCACCGGTGGTATGATGAGCACTGCATGATGAGCTCTGCTGCATCAGAGCGCGTCAGGCACGAATAAAAGTGGAATATAACCAGAGAATATGAACGGACATGAACGATCACGTGTTAATGGTTAATAGGCTATGCCAATTTGCTGGCGCGCCTCACTCTGGCCGCCGGCGTGACGCAGCTGAAGCGCATGGACTCCGTTTGATTAGTGTAATGTAAATTGAAAGTGGATCATTTTGGGGGCTCCCGGGTGTAAGTTGAGAGCTTATAGGCTCCCATTAGCTCCCACGTAATTCGACTGTAAAAATAATTAAAACGTCAAAAATAAATAAATAAATAAATAAATAAATAAATAAATAAAGTTTTCTTTCGGCACTTGCATTCAAAAAAGAAAATACTGAAACTGCTCAACTCAAACTGTTGTGTTTCGAATTTTGATTCTGGTGTTTTGGTTGTGTTTATTATTGTTGCCTTGGTAACGGGACGTGCTCATAGTCATGTCAGTGTATAGAACGCCTCTCTCCAGCGTCAGCGTTACTGTGACTACCAGCAGCCTGTGACGTCACAAAGACAAGCGACATCATCATCATCATCACAGAGCTTTGTGTCAGGACACTAGTTATCACTATCATTTTGACACTAGTTCTCCTCAAACATTAGTTCTGGACTCCCAGCCTGGAGCTCAAATCACAGGGAAATTTTCAACAAGAGTCAGTAAGTCCCTCTCTCTTCTTCTCGCCCCCAGTCTGTTGTAAGCTTTTTGGTTTAACCGAGTTCACAAGGTTTTGTTTTTTAATCTTAACATCAATAGCATTTCTACACTTGGGAATCGTTCAGGTCTACAAGAAGAAGAAACAATTTTTTATATTGCGCCTCTCAAGATAAAATTCACGAGGTGCTTAAAGGCAGCGTCCCTCCAACCCTTCTTTCAAGTCTGCTCCCAGTTGCCCAACGGACCTCATTAGAGAGGCATTCAGGAAGCATTCAAACCAAGGGCGTCGAACCACATTAGGAACCGCTAAGCCTATCTACTCAAGCTCCACTTGACAAATTTTACATTTATTTGACCCAGAGAGACAGACACAGGAACTCCATTCATCCGTCTATTTTTATTAGGGTCGCAGGGGCGGAAGCCTGAGCAAAAACGTCCAGACTTTAAACTTCCCAGCCACCTGTGCCAACTTCTCCAGAGGAATCAAGGCGTTCCTTGGTCAAACGAGAGACAAAGTCCCTTCAGCGTGTCTTAAATGTCCTTACTTAACAAATATAAGTTTAAGTGTCCCGACTTTTGAACGTGCCCAAATAATCTCATCAGAAAAGCGTTTAGCAGGAATTCTAACCAGATACGTGAGCCACCTCAGCTATAGTTCCTCTCAACATTAACTGAAGTGAAAATAATGTCTGAACCAAATAAGAAAAGCCATCCACATTTAGAGTTTTCCAAAAGTCTAACTGGAAGGTTTTCACACGTTTTAATTAACCAAATTTTTTGTCAATTCGGTTTTCGTAAAAAAAAAAAACCAGAGGAATATTTTAACAAGATCATATCCCAAACAGGGGAGGAAATCGCTCAATGTGAAAACAAAAGAGTCAAATTGAAACAGTCTAAAGTTGTCAGCAGAATGGTGGTGAAGAAGTTAAGAAAAATCCACAGTGAAGAACAGATTAGACATTTAATCCAGGCAGAAGATGAAAAGTTTGCTGCTGATTTAGTTCGGTTAGCTTATGGATTTTATAGAAAACTGGGTGAAAGAAAGCTTGGCAGGACATGGAAAGGTTTAAGGTATTTCTTTGCCAATTGGAGAAAAGTGCTTAGAAAGGCTTCAAATTTGGTATTCGTAGTTTTCATTATGTTTTTCCAGCTCCTTATTTTCCCTTTTACTATTTTAGGGCAAAAGGATATGGCCTCTGAGGATAACAGAAATATTTTTAAATTATATCATCAACATCCTAATCTGTCGTACCATTCTTCTGACAGTTTCGACTAGTTTGTGTGTGGCCTTTATAGGACACAATAACTCTCCTTCATTTAAAAATCTCACGAGAGAGCTGCAATTTAAAGTAGTTTTCCGGAGTTTTCTCCTTTCAGAAATTATGCATGCTAAATGTAGCCTATGTCTTTTTTGCAAAGCACACCCCCTCCGCCCCGCAGAGCTCCATGCAATAGAAAACTGAGCGCCGACCAGAAATAGCCAATAGCGTTAGACCACCGCTTACCTGCTTCAAATTTAAGGAAAACCTCAGCTGATGCAGAGGTGACAAACTTTTCACCGACAAGTAAGTCTTTAAAATATTAATGACACAACATGACATGAGAATAATACTTGTTAAACAACATGTTTAGCTCTGTTTGTCGGCTGCAGAAGTCCATTTATAAACAAGAAACGTGAAGTCGCCATCTTAAAAAAACGAACACACAGACTTTTTGTGTGATATGCTTGTCAGCCACTAGATGATGCCATCAGAAGAGAAATACTCCGGAAAGAGACTTTAACCCTCTGGAGGCAGGCGTTGCAGATTTGCAACAGTTAAAACCTACCTACCTGGTTACTCCACAAACGTATTTCATGAGCATTTTTTAACTCAGAAGTACCCCTGAAGGACTTAGTTGTTCGTCCTTTTATCAAAACTTATTTTGAGCCTGAGAGGGTGACGTTGATCGAACATGGCATCTTTGATTTTCACACTATGATTTCTCCACTTTTATGGAGTTTAACCTATACGACACATATAAGTTTTATTTAGTACAACTAGTCAACTATGCAATGTGGGAATTTCAATCTCAATCAACTTACCACAATTAGATATAGAGATCCACATGTGGTTACATAGGCAGCTTTACAGTTCTGCAGACAAACCAATGTTTGACGCGTCATAAACCCACGCTGATTGGTCGAACGGCACCATGGCGTAAACTGTGACTGGTTTGATATTTGATACTTGCTCAGGTAAAATCCCAAGAGCTTGCAAATTTTATGATTTTAGGTGGAAGTGTGTATAGATGTTGGCCCTTAAGAGGGTTAAGGATTGCCTATTGTAAATATATTGTCCGGCCACGGACCATTGAAACAGCTCATTACTCGGGAAATAATGAACAGTTTTCTATCAAACTGTACACAATCAGAACGATGAACAGCTTGATGGACTCACCTCTAGTCAAGTCAATCAATTTTAGTTATAAAGCACTTTACAACAGCATAAAAGCTGACCAAAGTGCTTAACAAGCCAAAAATAACAGAAGTTCCCTAAAAATTCTAAAAATAAGATAAAAAGTTCATCACAAAGTAAAAACATGATAAAAACAAACATATCAAACTGACATAAAAGCTACTGAAAACAGATGCATTCTCAAACTGAATTAAAAGCAACTGAGAACAGACGAGTCTGTAAAAG